AATAGCTTGCAAACTTTCTCCTATAATAAGAACATCATCCACATAGATGACTAAAGCTACAAAAGCATCACTAACATAACCAGTTAAGAGACAAGGATCATTCATAGATTGTTGAAAGCCAAAATTCTGAATCTTGGAAGTGAACTCCACATTCCATTGTCTTGAAGCCTGTTTAAGTCCCTATAAGGACTTCTGAAGTTTGCAAACCTTGTTTGGAGGAGCTGAATATCCTTCAGGAGGCACCATAAAGACTTCATCCAGAAAGCCATGAAGAAACGCATTATTCACATCCAATTGGTGGATGTCCCACTATTTTGAAGCCGCAATGGCTAGAAGAAGTCTCACTGTAACTGCCTTCGCAACTGGGGAGAAACTATCAAAGTAGTCTTCACCCTCAACTTGGTTATAGCCTTTTGCAACTAATCTAGCTTTATACCTTTCCACTGTACCATCTGAGTTGTATTTGATCTTGTAAACCCACTTTCAACCAATAGGTTGTTTTCCAGGTGGTAAGTCAGTCAATATCCAAGTCTTGTTGGCCTCCAAGGCATCCAATTCTGAATGCATTGCTGTAATCCATTCTAAATGTCTCCTAGCTTGAATAAAAGATCTAGGTTCTTCAACACTGTCTATTTTGGTTAAAAGGAGGTGTATTGAGTAGTGAGGCCTGGCACAGTGTAAAAAGAAAATGTAGGAGGTGTATAGGCAGTATTGGTTGTGGAAGAAGGGAAAAACCTGGAAACGAGTTCAACTGCCAAATGGATAGTTTGCACATCATAATCTTTTTGCCAAACAGGTGGTATTCTGGTTCTAGTACTCCTTCTTAAAGGAGGGTGAAGAGATTAATCAATTGGAGAATGTGACTCAGAAGTGGATGGATGTGATGTAGAAGGAGAATTAAAGGTTGGAGAAGAGAAAGAAGGCTGATCAGTATCTGATACTGATGGAATGAATGGCTGAAAGATATCAAATAGATCAGGAGTAATGTTGGGTGAAATATGGTGATCTGTGGACTGTTCTGTTTAAGGAAAGATGTCTTCATGAAAAATGACATCTCTGGAAATGAAGAGTTTGTGTGTGCTTAGATCATAAAGTTTCAAGGCTTTTTGTCCTGGTGGATAACCAACAAAGATGGCTCTAATGGCTCTTGGAGCTAGTTTATCTTTTTGTGCAAGGATATTAGTGGCAAAACACAAACATCCAAAAACTTTCAACTGGTTGAAATCAGGTTTCTTGTGAAAGAGCATTTCATAAGGATTTTTCCAATTCAAAACTGAAGAAGGAAGCCTATTAATCAAATAGGTGGCTGTTAAAATGGAATCCCCTCCAAAATTTCTTTGGAATGCCTTACTGGAAAAGTAATGCTCTAGCAATTTGAAGAAGGTGTTTATGCTTTCTTTCTACTACACCATTCTGTTGAGGTGTATAAGGAGAGGTTTTATGATGGATAATACCAAGAGAGCTGAACAAAGATTGACATTCTTGGCTGAGAAACTTAGCTCCATTGTCTGATCTTATGGTTTTCACTGAGATATTGAATTGAGTTGTAATCATTTTTAAGAAATTTGAAAGTACTGTAACTGATTGAGACTTGTGACTCATAAGATAAGTCAAAGTGCATCTACTACAATCATCTACCAGTGTGAGAAAATAAGAAGCACCAGTATAAGTTTGGGTTGAATAAGGTCCCCAAATGTCAATATGTATAAGCTCAAAGAGTTGTGTAGAAATTACAGATTTGATAGGAAAGCTTAGTCTTTGCTGTTTGGCTAGAGGACATACATCACATGTCCTTCTGCTTACATTATTTGAAGAACAAAGCCCTAATTTCTGTAAAATAAAATCTGGTATGTGACCTAGTCTTGAATGCCATAGACTGCTGGAATTAGATGTGGCAAAGTTGGAATGTTGATGATGATAATCAGTGAAGGTGGGTTGTGATATGAGTGGATGATGAATGTGCCTTTGTTGAAACTGATGAATTGTTGAAGGAAGAAAAGATGTTGAATCAAGCACATACAAGCTGTTCAGGACCTTGCTAACTACCACCAAATGTCTAGTCGTTTGGTCCTGTAACAAGCAGAAATTTGTGGAAAAGATGCAGTCTATGTTAGAAGATGTGGCAAGTTTATTTACTGATAGCAGATTGTACTTAAAGGATGGCACATGTAAGCAGTTTGAGATTTGTAATTGATCAGACAACCTAACTGTGCCAGTGTTTTCTACAGGTTTGGTGCTACCATCTGAAAGGATGATTGGTATGGATTTTGTGGTTGGTTGATGACTATAGAAAAGGTTAAGATGTGGACTCATACTTCCTGAAGCCCCAGTGTCTAGGAACCATAGATATTTTAATTCAAGCTCATCAACGGTCAAAGTAGACAAAGCTTTGTAAACACTCATACCTGCAAAGTCATGATATTGAGTGAAGTTGACATGCTCAAGTTCTGGTGACATTTGCTGCTTTTTTTTCATCAGTCTAGAAAGTTCTTGCTGCATTGCCTGCATCTTCTGCATCATGTTGGTCAGATCATCTGATGTTGGTGGATTCCCTGATGAAGAACCTTCTGACATTGTCACCATGTTGGCTGTGTTCCTTGACTTCAAGCCTTTCTTAGCTTCAAGATTTCCTTCCCACCAGTCGGGATATCCAATCAGTTTGAAACAGCCTGTTCTGAGATGCCCTATCATCTGGCAATGATCACATTTCAACAACCTTTTTGCAGCTTTGTCCAATCTTATATTGTTTTCCTTTCCTGCATATGAATTGTTATTCTTCCTTGTGGAGTTGAAACTGTTCCTATCATCCTGGTTGTACGGCCTGAAAGTAGACCTTTGAACCATCATAGCATTCTGTTCCACTGGATTCTCATAGATTTTGTTTACCATAGCCTGTTTTTCCACATTTAGAACCATTGAGTAAGCCTTTTTGACCTCAGGCAATGGCTCCATGATTAGAATCTGATTCCTGCCAGCAGTGTAAGCCTCATTTAAACCACTCAGAAATTGCATCAATTGATGCAAGTTCTCTCTTCCTGCATTTCTATTGAGTCTACAGGTGCAGCCATTACAAACACATACTTCTACCGGATCAATATGATTCAATTCGTCCCATAACCTTTCAGTTTTGAATAATAGGCAGCTAAAGTCATGTTTCCTTGAGCAATTGTTGCAACCTCTCGCCTCAATCTGTAGATCTGTGGTCCATTCTTAACTCCATAACGATCTTTAATCTCATTCCACAATTCATACGCAGTATCAGCTAGATTAAAATCATCAACTAAATCCACACAGATTGAATTTAAGATCCAAGAAACAACTGTATCATTCACCCTTAGCCACTGATCAAATTCGGATCATTTTCAGCTGGTTTCCCCACAGTACCACTGATAAAACCTAGCTTGTTTTTCGTCCCTAGAAACCTCTTAACTGCATGACTCCAGGAAACGTAATTAATTTCAGAAAGTTTGGAAGCAACAATTACCATTGACGAGTTATCCGAAGGATGAAGCATGAGCGGATGCGTGTATCTCCTCCATACATCATCTGATCTGGTTCTTCTCGTCGTCCTTCCTCACGACGGTCTCGATCTCGATTTGCTGCCATAGCCTCCGATCAATCAATCTTCTATCGAACGCTTAGGGTTTGAGCTAAAAATTGAGCTGGATTTGGAAGAAAAACTTTCTATTGTTGATCTATTTGAGTGATTTGACTAATGTTTCTACCAGTTGAGGCACTGAGCAGGATTGGAACCTGCTCTGATACCATCAACAGTTTGAGGAGTAGGTTTCCATGGATGAATCGAGAAGAATTCTTGATTTAGTGTATATTCATTATACTGCTAATTTACAGAGATTCCTAAGTATATATATACAATACTATTGTTTGCTAACTACTGTATATACAAAGTAATCCCCTAACTTTACAAATATACAATTTAACCCCTATGCTATACAACCGCCTTTGACTATTGACTAACCGATTTAAACAATATGTACCACTGTATGTCTATATATACTTTATCCTTCTTCAGGGCTTATATTTCTCGATCAGTTCAATCATGTTAGAGATTTTAGTACAAAGTATATTGTCGGAATTTGGTGCTTGTAGGGAGGGTTCTGATGATTGGGAGGAATCTATTGAGGAATTGATAAAAGTGCTCATCCATAACAGAGAAATAGAATCATCTGAATTGACAGAGGAATTTATTCTCCAGAACTTAAAGTAATGTGCGTGATCTGCCAGTGTGAATATCAACGGAAAGAGTTTGTCGGAAAACTGGGATGCGGACATGAGTATCACGCTGATTGTATAAAGAGATGGTTTTGTTGGTGAGTAATTCTTGCCCTGTTTGTAAACGTAAAGCAATCCCCTCAGGTCATTGATTTGATCAAGTTTGATTCATGAAACATGCAACATTCCTCTTTAATATAAAGACATTTTGATTTGTTCCATGTTTCTTCTGGTACGCATTTTTATTGACGAAAAAATCTCAAAAATTAATATTTCATAACAAAGATTAAAGCTTGATGATCTTAATCTTTTCTCACCATGTTCATCTTACATTGGAAGGCGTTTGGTTAGAAGGTGTTCAACTATGGGAGTAGAAATTTGAAAATCATTTCCTAAGTCTCCAACCTTCTCCCCTACTTCTATCAACTTTGATTAATCTTTGAATTGCTCCTCTTGGAAATGAGCGTGGTTTACTCAGTTTATTGTTCGCGTCGAGGTGTTGATCATCTTAAGAGTTGGATCTGGGAATTCTTTGTTAATTTGTGCCTCTGCTTCCAATATTTTAACTAGCAAATCCAATGACTTACGCATGATACCATTGGAGAACACTAAACACGAGTGTATTGGGAAGGAGAATCATCAAAACTGTTAAGTTTCAAAAGAGAAGGCCAAAGTCCAAACAATTTAGTCCAAAGGCCAAAGTCTGCTGCTGGGTCCAAACAAACTAAATCCACTGAAATAATCTTGAATTTTGTATATGAGTAGGATTCGGAAGATCTTGTATTGATATCAATATAGTTTTTGCATTTGTCAGTAAAATAAATCTACAGCTTATCCCTGACTCCAAACATGCACATATCTTCACAGAACTGGTAGTAGAAGATTGGGAAGATATTGTATTTACATCAATTTAGTTAATGCATGTGGCAGTAAAGAAAATCTAGTGCCTGGCTGCATCTCCAAACATACTCATCATCTCTTTACAGAACTGATAGTATCCTTCCACCATTTCGATTACTTCACTCAACTGACAACCACATCCCATAGCTATCCGATTCATCCGTGCTAAACTGAGAAATTCACCATCCAATTCTACATTGATATGCAGATATTTTTAGGCAAATGCCGGGAAACAGAAGCAGAGAACTTAGACATCAACACAAACTAATCAAAACTTGCCTCCGTTAGTCATTGAGTCCATAAATGCCTTGTAATGTTTTAACTTTGTCTCGCTTTCTTTTGAATGGTCTTTGCTGAATCCTGGGATCTGCAAAATCATAAATAGTAGCAGAATCATCAACATACTTGAATGTGGAAGTTCATGTCCTTGAGTTTATCATTGAATCATCAGATTACCTGTCCACCAGGCCCAATTTTAAGTGCATTCTGCAAGTGCTCATACATAATCCTGAACGTGCTTTCTCCTTCAGAAACTTTTTCAAGAAGCTCAGGTTGTCGATGCATGAAACCATACCAATCAAACATGCCTAGAAGGCGGCTCACAAATGATTTTAGATCAAATTCTTTCAACGCATCCATCTGTTCACCGAAGCCAATAAAAATAACAGGACTTTTTGTCGCTTTGACTCTGCATAAAAAGCAACAGATGTTAGCAACATATATTATGTCTAAACAATCCCACATCAAACACTGTATTAGGCAAACCTAGGCGCATTGGATACAAAATTTCGCTTTCAAAGAGAGAACCACAAAAGGATCTTACATGCTGAGAGCACCACCTCCCTTTGCATGACCTTCCATTTTGGTAACAATGACCGCACCAACTTCAACACTTCTTTTAAATGCTTGGGCCTGATTGGAAGCTGCTTGTCCGATCCTACTATCCATGACAAATATAACAAGGTCGGGTTGCTGAAACATTGAGATGGAAACATTATTAGCCTATGCAGACCCATAAGAGGAACACAATAATACGAAAGATCAAACAACATACAATTGCTTCAGAAACTTGGTGCAGCTCTTCCAGCAGGGAAGCATCCTGTTTGTGGCATACACGAGTATCCACAATTATCAGGTTAACATTTTTTTTCTTGAAATTTGCCACCCCTTGAACAGCTAGTTTAACAGGATCAGACTCGGTGTAGCTGTTGAACAATAGATGATGAGCAGACAGATGGACTCTAATTAACTCCAAATACAGACAATGATATAATAAATGAACAAACCAACTCTTTCATCATTTGTGAAAGACTACTAATGAGCAAAAGCACAGACCATCAATTATTCATTAACAAGCCAAGAACTCAAATGCTTTCGGGAGAAGTGTCATAACCTTCTAGATCCCATTTGAATAGCAAGTTACAAACTTATGATTCTATCAATGTACCATAGACGTCTGTGGAATGTTAAATCCTTCACTTAACCTAAAGTTGATGATTTCTTCTCATTCAGGGCTATTAAACCATTTAGGGCCACATACGGGACAATTGGCCAACCTAAATATCAATAAATTGTAAGCTACTCTCCCATCAACCTTTCTTCCAAACTAAGTTAAGTACTTTTCACTGATATACAAAGCATGCATCACGTACCTGTCAAAAATTGAAATTTTTATATTAGCAACTAATCTATATCAGCTGATTTCCAAAAGAGGAGGCATGTTCATAAACATTTCAAGTCAGACTTACTAAAGCATTATATTTGCTCTTAAATCAAGATATTTAGCATTCCAAAAAAACAAAATAACTGTAAGCAAAGTTTCTCCGAATCCAAAAAGGTAACTTGGACAGCCAGTTGCTTAAGACACACAAACCATTGACATACCTTCCATAAAATGGAATTCTAGCTTTAAGCGCATCATGCTTCAGCTGATCAAAAGCGCCAGCTCTAAATGTATCTGCACAGACCAAAGCAGGCTTCCAACCTTTTCTCGCGTGGTAGTATGCATACTTTGTACAGGTGGTCGTTTTACCACATCCTGTAAGTTCACTCAAAATCAATCACAAGGGTCTTGCTGAGAAATTGGAAAAGCAAAAAGGCACAATCATAGTAAATTTGTCAACAGATTGACTCAACAAACAAATTAAAATTCCACCGGCTTGTGTCAACAAAAAGTGTGTTCAGCTAAACCAAATCAGGAAGGCTGATAACAGAGTAACAGGTTAAATATTGAAAACTAACCAATAAAAAAGAAGTGAAGTAAAATAAAAATCAATGCAAGCATTCAAGTACCTTGCAAACCTACAAACATGACAACACTTGGTTTTCGTTTCTTAGGGATGAATGAAGGACGTCCAACATCCAATATCTTGCAGATTTCACTGAATATAGCCTGCAAAAAGAGAACCATACTTGATTAGAAAATAACAATTAAGAAGGGGGTAAAAATGAAGAAGACTGGTGAATGACCATTGCCATTCAAACCTCAAACTACGCTAATTTAATCAGAATTTACAGCAAATACAACAAGACACATCTTCACGTAAACAGTAGATTCTATGAAGAAAACAAACCTAGTTGGGGCACCAGCGAAAAGAACAAGAAATGCTTTACGTTCATACAGAAACTTAGTATGAAACAGGGAACTTGCAAATTGATAATTACTTGAAGAACTGTACCATCTTTTTGGTTGCCCATTCAGTCCAAGATTCATACCTTGTATTGACTGCATAAGCTAATATCTTACCAACTTGTTAGTTAACATATTATTCACTGGATTGGAATTCAGCTCATCGCTTTCATACTAGTCGGACACACCACTTAAGTTCAGATAATAGATCTCATCAGCGTACAAGTATCTGATTCCTTATCCTGAGAAAGAGGTTATCCCTCAAGGTTGCAACAGGAGTATAAAATTGTACCATACTTCCAAACATTCTTTAAAATTTGCAGGAATCAGGACCGTTGACATAAAGCTACGGTGCTGATCTTCAAAATTAGAACCAACCATATCGTTTCTCTTAATGTCCTCATTCAAATGAGTAATAAAAGTTTTCAGCTCTTCACATAAAACCCAAAATTGGAGTTAAAGATATTTTGCTAGGGCTTCCATGATCCTAGGTGATCTGCCGGTAGGTCAAATAAGGGTGAGTACAATGCCAACCTAAACAATTCCATTATCTTTCTCATTTGCTAAAATTGTATCACCCTACCACTAGTACTAATTACAGTAAATTCCACCTCACAGTAGTTATCCTGATCTCCCTGGCAAGTCTTAGATATACAACCATCAACACGTTCTAGTGTTGGCTGCCACATCTCAGTCCCTCCCCTACCTGTAAACATAGCCTCATGATTATTTCTTCTTCACGTTTAAGTTCACCCACATTAAAAAATATTATAGCCAATATAAAAAGTTTCAGCCTCTCATTCTAAGTTCCTGATGTTGAACTAAAAAAGTAAAGGAAGCCTGCAGTCTTCTTAAGAAAAAGCACAGAAGAAAACAGCTATCTAAAACCGTCAAGGAAATCTGCAAATCCCTTGTTCTTAAAACACCTATGTCCTCAAGGCAGAAAAATGGGTGATACCTGCAATCCACCTAATCTATCAAACTCCCATATATGACGCCATCTAATAGTGTCACTTGAGGCAATAACCACTAATTCCAGATATATATGGAAGTCCCATAAGAGGAATACCACCATTATCATTTGGGGAAAGCAGTAACATTGCTCCCAACCGTTCCAATCATGGTAATAAGTAAAGGGCTGTAATAATTAACACCGACAGCTTGGAAACTTCTAAACTGGAATGCAAAATTCTTTATCATGAATTCCACCTCTGAATCCTGTTACTATGAATTCCTTGACCAATAACATGATTCAGACCAGCATCATTATCATCCTTGACCGTCCTCAATTCAGCCAATTAATAATATTACTATAATATCACCAATTTCATCATATATTTCTACAAATGCAGCATCCTAACAAATGATAATAGCACTGCTTCCAAGATTAAATGAATTATTAACACTGAAAAGCTTTTCAATTCCGCCAGGATCAACAAGAACTATTTTTAATCAAATTCCCCTATCGGTTGACGGTTGCTCTTACGCCCAGCAACTAGGGCATCAAAATTAAAGAGTTTCTTGCCATTATCAAGCATATCTTGATCTCATTAACAACAGTAATATCTCCTACTAAGAAAACATAAACAGCTTGGGGGGCAGGGAAAAAAACAAGAAATGCTTGACATCCCTACAGTAATTCCTCCTATTGGAAGAAATGACGGCAAAATTCTAGCTTGGAACAAAAACAAAAAAGAACAAAAAATTCAAGAACTTTGCAGCATTGAAAAACAAGTTTGATGGGGAATAAAGGGATGTAAGAAAACCTGGTGTAGGATAATGAATTTGTTGCGCCCAGATTCTAGGTCATCCGATTTGATAAGTGTCTTGATTTTACGTTCAATTTCACGGACAATCTTGAAGTCGACATCTGATTGAAGGAGAACCCGAATGATGCCGGCAATCCAATCTTCAAGAACCTTTTCTTCTGTGATTTTATTCGATTCTTTCACCTTGTTCGACAAGATCGACCAGAGTTTCTCCATTAAGAACCTGAGTGGCAAGAATACTGAAAGCTATATGGATAATAGAAGAGAATTCGAGATGATGGTTATCGGTAGAGAGAAGGGAAGTATAAATTATTTGAGTAGGGTTTGGAAAAAGTTGAAATCGAGGATTTCTTTATTGAAATCTTGAGAAATCAAGGATTTTTCCGTTCACCAGCAGCTCGGAGGTTAGGAAGAAATGGAGAAGAACAGGAAGGCGGGAGCTTTATAACGGAAAAAAACCAGGAGGCGGGAGATGTGCAATTGTTCGTTGGGCTTTAAAGAATTGAAAAGGACAAAATTCTGGGCTTTCATATTTGGGCTATCTTTGATACATTTCGATCTGTGTTTTATTTTTTTCCTTTTAGGGGAAATTTTGAGGGCTTTTTTTTTTCCCAAAAAACAAAATTAAATAAAAAAAATTAAAGTATGTATTGTCAATGCACATTTTCATCTCACCCACCCAAAAAAAAAAAAAAAATTAAAAAGAAATGTTTTTTAACACTTTTGGTTATTTTGTCATGGTGGACCAATTTTGCAGTTTGAAGTTATCAATAGAGCATTGTTGTTTCGAGGACAATTGGACGTCGGCATTTAATTTCTTTTCAATTATTTTAGGAATTATTCGATTTAGATAGTAATTTACGATTTATGTACTCAATTTCATTTCGCACGAAGATTCCCACGTGTTAAAAATTGAAACCAAAATAAAGGTACCTCCACATGTTAAGATTCCCATAGTTAATAATTTTTTTGAGTTCTGCGAACTGCTTTAAAGTTAGTAAGTTAGATGTCTCTGACTTACATAATATGAAATATAATGCATGTCGATGTAATATCCTAAGTATTTATACTTAATATAACAGGTATTATTTTCAAAAAAAACTACAGTCAATTAAATTAAGGGGGCTCTAGTTACTTGTTCATTAAAAAAAAAAAAGAAGCAGAAATTTGAATACACATGACACGTAGTAAAGTTGGTTATAATTTGGGAAGAAATGAGAAAACAGTAAGCACAAAAGGTTGGTTATGAGACTTATGATCTGTCCGGTTTTCATTCACTGAGGCTGAAAGAGAGAAATGGCAAACCCGTTATGTTGTGGAAGCTGCTGGACTAAATTAGTCAAATTCAACAAGCCCTTGCTGTCTTCTTCTTGTAGAACTTTCACGAGACTCGGACATTTGTCCCTCCCAAGAGAATCAGAGTGGAGCTTCAACTTCAATTCATTTGAGCTCTTTTCTCTTTACCAATTTCACTCCTATTTCCTGGTAAACTTATGTATGATCAAGTTGGCTGATTTTATTTATTTATTTATTTTTTTGGTGTGACATTTATCAGTTATTATTACCACCCTGTTGTATTGATGGTTATCTGTTAAGCTCTGTTTCTGAATGATCTTCTCTGCTTACCGGCGGAGCTATGAAATCTAGGTTGGGGTGCGAAATTTAGAAAACACTTACTAATGAGCTAAGAAATTAATGTAGGAGGTGCGAAAATTATAAAATTTAGGACATCTATACTAATTAAAAAAAATTGAGCAGGTGCGACCGCACCCCTCCGTCCCCCCTAGCTCCGCCTCGCTGAATTCCGAGATATATTCCTAGCTTAAACCTTGTTGTTTGATGATTCTGTGATCTGGGTTTGTGTTACTATTGGCCGTAGGCATCATATTTGGAATCAGGTAAGCTATGCATGCAAGATATAGTTTGGAACGGAATGTCGTTTATCTTAGTTTGCATGATTTTATCAAGTATTTTGGTGCTTTTCGCTTTGATTGTTGAGTAGTTGAGGCTATTGTGAATTTAATTTGGGAAGCTCAAATTTTGCAAAACTAGCATGGCAGCCGGGACTTGATTTAATGTCATAACTAACATGAGCTCGGATCATAAGGATGTGGATTGATTCAGTTTCTTTTGAGAATCAATCAATTAGGTCATACAATTAGTAATTTCTTTTGAATAATTTCGGAAGTTTGGACTTCAACTCTCCAAAATTGAGAGTAAAAGTCATTTTTGTATTATCACTAGACATGATATTTGAAGCTGAGACACAATTTATGGGTACTTCATGGGTATTGGTTGGGATCAGAGAGTGGATTGGAGTTGGATTAGATTTAAGGACTATTTTCTCTGTCAGACCTTTTTGATTTTCAACATGTTGGTGCTTTGAGTTTGAGGATTCTATTCTTGTGAGAATATAGCTGTAGCCTGTAGCCTGTAGACTGTAGCTTTGATTGATGGATATATATTTTTGCAGGTCACTCTGTTCTAGGAATTAGGAAATCATGGCGGATATGGATAGTTTACCTTATCCGTCTGTGAGACAAAAACTGTTTGGTCAAGTTCATCTTTCAGCTGAAATGTTCCAATGCATGGACTCTAGAAAAGCCAAAGCATACAAATCCACGGGTGGACCTGATTATGGAAATGCCAATGTTGGCCTGCAGAGTCTTTTCAATCTTGGTTCCCATGTTCGTAGGGTTGGAATTGCTTCACAGATGCCCCCCCCTGTTCTAATTCCAGATACAAATGAACAAGGATCTTCTAGTTTCATTGTGGATTTCCTCATGGGTGGGGTTTCTGCTGCTGTCTCAAAAACTGCTGCAGCTCCTATTGAGAGAGTCAAGCTTTTAATTCAGAACCAGGATGAGATGATCAGAGCCGGCCGGCTATCTCAACCATATAAGGGAATTACTGAGTGCTTCACACGCACAATTAAAGACGAAGGTGTCATTTCACTCTGGAGAGGCAACACCGCCAATGTGATCAGATACTTTCCCACCCAGGTTAACTCTTTCTTGGCTGTCCTTTTTAATATGATATTTGTTTTTTACTTGTTTAATTAGGCCTACTACTATATTTCCGTACAAATGAATAAAGTTTCACGTGTTAACTCCACACTGAAAGGGGTTGTGATGGGGGTTATAGGTAAAAAACTTGTTTGATCATCTTAGATTTTTCTGGATATTCTTCTTTCTGAATTGCATTTTCATCTTTTGCCTTTTGTGGGATCAATTTTGTGTTATGCAGAATTACTTTTTAACTCTTGGCGTTTCTTTGCAGGCCCTGAACTTTGCCTTCAAAGATTACTTTAGGAGGCTTTTCAACGTTAAGAAGGACGATAATAATTACTGGGTTTGGTTTGCTAGTAACTTGGCATCTGGGGGGTTGGCTGGTGCCTCATCTCTTCTATTTGTCTACCATATCGATTATGCCAGAACTCGGTTGGCAAATGATGCTAAGGCAACTAAAAAGGGTGGCGAGCGCCAATTTAATGGGTTGATTGACGTCTATAAGAAAACATTCAAAAGTGATGGTCTTACAGGGCTTTATCGCGGATTCAGTGTTTCATGTGTTGGGATCATTGTTTACCGTGGACTTTACTTTGGGCTCTATGATTCTCTTAAACCTGTCATCCTCGTCGGTGATGTGCAGGCAAGTGGAAATCCTGTCATGTTCTTTGGGCTTTATATCCATATAAGCTCTATCTTTGTATGACAAGATTTGCTTTTGAAATATATGACTCATCTGATTAAATTCCTGAGCTTCTCTATGTTGCCCGTGTCTTGCTTTTTCTTTATGCCCTCAAAACTTTGTCAAGTGGTAAAGTAACTAAATAGTAGGTCATTTGTTAAATAGAATTTCACTAGCTGCATTACTTGAATTATTGTGTTTTGGGGGCCTTATTGACACAATGCATTTGGCGCCTTGATATTACAGGATAGTTTCTTTGCCAGTTTCCTTCTGGGATGGGGTATCACCATTGGTGCTGGATTGGCTTCTTATCCGATTGATACCGTGCGTAGAAGAATGATGATGACCTCTGGGGAGGCTGTCAAGTACAAAGGCTCATTGGACGCGTTCTCTCAGATCATAAAGAATGAAGGCGCGAAATCTCTCTTTAAAGGTGCTGGAGCCAACATTCTTCGTGCCGTTGCCGGTGCTGGTGTGTTAGCTGGTTATGACAAACTGCAGTTGATTATGTTTGGAAAGAAGTATGGATCTGGAGGCGGTGGTTAAATTCAAGTTTCACTGTGATGATGAGGGCGAAAAGCTTCAGAAGCCTTGCTGTGTTTTCATAAGAAATCTTAGTCTTTATGTTCATATATAAATAATTTCGGGAACATTGTTGAGCTTGTTTGTGGCAGTTCCCAGTTCTGAGAGATGATTGTAATTGCGGTATATAATATATTGTAGCTGTGCTTTAAACTTTAAAGTTTCCTGAATAAAGATTTCAGTCTTCTCGTTACAAATGTGGACAGTTTTCCCCTTCTCTGATGTGGGAGATTGCAATTTTGGTAGGAGCTACTATATCAAAGATTCTCTGCCCTTAATGTTTGAACATTTCCACAAATTGGAAAGCTGGATGGGTTGATTGACGTTTATAAGAAAACCTTGAAAAGTGATGGTCTTGCAGGTCTTTATCGCGGATTCAGTGTCTCATGTGTTGGGATGATTGTGTACCATGGCCTGTACTTTGGGCTCTACGACTTTCTTAAACCTATCTTCCTTGTTGATGATGCACAGGTAAGTGAAAATTTTTGGAACATAATTATCTTAACTGCTTTTTCTCTTTTGATTTCAGTTTGTTGCTTGATCTACACCACTATTATGGTTTTAACCTTTGCATTATCTTTATGAATATCATGTACTTCTGAATTAACATGCCATCTCTGATTAAATTGAGTTTCTCTATGTTATGATGCTTGTAGGCAATGTATTGCCATTTCTTTATTGCTCTCGTGATGTTGTCAAATGCTGAAGTAGCTAAATAGTAGATCATTATTCACCATGTATGTCTGTTGCTGCATTACTTTGACATTATTGTGTTCTTGAGGCCTTGATGACATTGCTGGCTTGATGCTACAGGATAGTTTCTTTGCCAGTTTCCTTTTGGGATGGGCTGTCACCATCAGTGCTGGGTTGGCTTCTTATCCATTTAATACTGTACGTACAAGAATGATGATGACCTCGGGGGAGGCTGTCAAGTATGATGGTTCGCTGGGTGCATTTGCTCAGATCTTGAAAAATGAAGGTGCAAAGTCTCTTCAAAGGTGCTGGAGCCAACGTCTTTCGCAGCATTGCTGGTGGTTTTGCATTAGCTTTTTTATGGCAATCTGCAGCTGCTTATGTTTGGAAAGGAGTATGGATCTGGGGGTGCTTAGGGAGATATGACTTTATTGGCAGTCTTAACAATTTCGGGAACGTTCTTTTGCCGACATGTGGAACTTGTTCTGAGAGATGGTTGTAATTGGCTAATTGCAGTATATATATAAAACTAGATGAGGTGGACCGCACGAGGTGCGGTCTTCCGGGGAGCAGTGACCCGGATGTGTTGTTTCAAGTCGAGAAGAGACACGGTGAAATAATTGACTTTCTTTGGAAATATTATCTTTAAGTAGACTCAAGTCGAATGTAAAAACTCTGGTGTTTTTACCTTATAAAACTATGCTTCCAAGTTCACCCTTGCCACTATTTGGCTTTTCACATCTATGATCAAATTAAATCAAACATACCATTCGGTCTTTACTTGTATGAGTACAACATCAAGGACAATAAATAGCATAACAATTTCACAAAACCAAACTGCACTCTCTTCCTTGTCTCTGTTCCATTCAATAATTTTCAAGCAAGTCCACCCAAAATCATGGCAACAGATCATATATGAGAATTTTTGGCTACCTAAAGCACAGATTATATTTGGAAGCACATTTGGAAACTTTGAAACCCTCCTCGCATTAAGCATTTCATATGGAGGTTTTGTTGTACAAGCTCCCTGCCAGGTCCATAGAACCTAAAAGCATGGCTTGATGCAATAATGGTCCTTCACCTTCTGGAATTCAGCTAACGTCTCTACTGGTCACCTTTTTTTGACATGTTCATTCTTGTTTTAAGTTTGGAGGCTGGGGGGAATCTGAGACATCAATCAACTGCAGAAGCCTTTGAAGTTGAAAGCTCTGACTGGTTAGATATCATTGTCCATTGAGCAACTCCTGAGGGATGTGGTTGAATTGGAAGCTCAGTGCATCATGCATCCAATAAGTACAAGGGAAGTCCATTATACTAGTACAAATGATTCCAAAGGTATAGGATACTGGAACAAAGATTGTTCAATCAGATAAACTAGCACAATCAAAATTTTATAACGATACCTTTGTCCAGGTGTATAATCAAACATCTAGCACGCAAATAATCAAACTCACGTTGCAACACGGTTAACTCTAACGGAAGGCATCCCCACACCAAAAAAAAAAAAACCCCAGTTAAAAACTCTATGCCAGTTTAGGACAAAAGCTAACAACAAAAGAATTTCTCTGATTACAATACCACGTCCTAACCCCAAACTTATGAATAACCAGATTGTTGCATAAAATGAAAAGAGGAGCTCTTGTGTTTATAAATAAATTGGATTCACCGATATTATTTTTGGTCATCTATAAAATGCATATAATGAAATAACTCACATGCAACCAAATGGACTCCCATTTCTGACATAATTGAGTGACACCACTACAACTCAAATTAAATTCAACGCCAAGACATGTTCCTCTGATTCCAAATATTGATTTGAAGTTCTTTCTAAAGTATAACTTAAGAAAAATTCCATACGAATCCCATATCATTACAGCCACATGAAAAAATTTAAAGAATCAAGATATATCTAGTCCTTACTGTAAATTAGACTTTCCAAAACTTCATTCAACTGAAACTTGCAACAATTCACTATTTAAATAGTTGAATCACTGTGATTCAATGTCAAAATCCATAATTATAGACAATAACTTTAGGCTACTCGGATCAAACACATCACGGTACAAGAAAGCTTCATCAAGAAATAAAAAGCCCAATTAAGACCCTGAATGAACTTCTTACTAAGTTCATCATTGGAATACTAAAATTATCAATAAAATATACTGGTTGAGCTCCAATTTCCAAAACCAAATTAAGTAAAGTCTGGACAATAATCAAAGAAAACCAAATGAAAACTTGGAGAGAATCGGATTCCCTTTTGAATAACAAATCAGAAGTAACTTGATACACTCATTTGAACCATGGAATTGGATGCTTTATGGAGGAAAAAGATTGCAGTAATCCAGTAACTCCACATCCTCTTACGTTTTCAGTCAAACTAAATTGAGTATGTCAAATTCTTATTTAACAGTCCCTTAATCATTTTCAAACTGGCTAATTTTTGTAACAGATGAAGAATGCACAACCGTATTGCTTCGCATGCACCAAAAAGCAAACACTTTTCAAAGAAAATAATGACAAGCAGCAGGATATTTTTTCAGCCAAATATAGGCCAAAACCAATGCAAAAAGTTTCTCTAATACCAATAATCAAACACTCACTAAATTGCTGCCGTTTGGCTAATTTATTGCAATTTGATTGGAATCATAATCAACCGTGTACACAATATGTTAAAAATATAATAGTGGATAATAAATAAATTATAATCACTCTTCTCACCGTTTTATGTAATTAGTGATTCAACACTCAGCATACACTAATGTAGCCCCAAGACATTGGTAAAATATGTAGCAACTACAATCCACATACCAGGGATAAAGGATAATTTGAAAATCGCATCTAATTTAATTGTTTTCAATTTCACTTCGTATCTGAAATATATTGACTTTCATTTTTAAAAAATCAAGCAACACTGAAAAAGGAGCCAAAGAAAAGTTCAACAGTGAGAGCAAAAATGGTTCCGATTAAGCACGCTAAATAGATAAACAGTAAAATAACCCTTATCAAAAATCATTCAGACCTAAATTCAACCACCTAGCATGCAAACAAGACTTCCACTTCCAGAAATTAAAAATTGGTTCTAATTTGATCTATTTACTTCAAACCCCACAATTAAGGTAGAAGGAAATCGATGCTCACCAAAATCTAACGAAAATGGAAGAGAAAAGCTCCGTAAATTGTAGTTTTTTCTTCTTCTACTCTAGATGATTAATCTAGTCTCCACAACATATTAAACTCAGATGCGCAAGTATCAATCAAATTTGAGGAACCCAACCAATCATTTTGTTGAAGAATTAAGTTGACCCAACAAATAATTTCTTCAAATCTCTAATAAAGTAATTGCAGGTTCCCAATCATTAGGAACCTAGAGAGAGAAATTTCTCACCTTACTGACCTCTATATTGGGGAAAACAACGCCGAAGTATCCATTGACATATGGGGCCAGGAACAGAAGATTGGCTGCTCCGCCTCCGCTGCGCGGTCATCAGAAGAAAAGCCAAGCACCCCTACGACTCCGATGAATAAAAACATTTGTGCGGTGGTACGTTAGCCAGTCGGTGTGGCTGCCTATCGAATGTGGGCAACATTGGGGAAACCGGCAGGGGGAAAAAAGATGGGTTAATCGATCCAGGCAAATTAACTTAGACACCTTCACGGCCACCACTGCTTCTAACCGAAAAGATGGGTTTGATCAATCGTTCAATTGTGCAGGAGATAGTGTGAGAGATAGTGCCAGAAGTGAGAACTGACGACCGGAAGGAATGGAGGAGAGCTACTCAGGGAGAAAGCGACAAGAATATGGGTAGGTCGAATTATTTATTGCCATGTCGACTTCGATGACAGGCAACTGGGCGTTACTGTGCCACAAATGAGGACTCCCATCTTTTATTACTTAGACTTAGATACACGATAGCAGTACTTTTTAAGTTCTGGCCGTGTCTACTTGAAGCAGTACTTTTAGTCTTCTTTCTATAAGTGTAGATAGTTTTCACAGTAGTTGCTAAGTTTTGAGTTCTACCTTCCTTTTGTTGGGCAACTAGTCGTGGGAGATTGCCATTTTTAGAATTCATGTTGTACCAGAGATGGCTTGATTAAATTCGCTTCGCTGAAACTGTGGAAAGTCGATATTTCTTCTCACTTAACTTATACATCGTGTGTGCCTGGAATCCAGAAATTTTTCTGTTGCGGATAATCTTTTTGTACCTTTAGCACAATGGTGTAAGGCCGCACAAAAACAACTTCACAGATTAGGTGTTTCAAGCTTTTGAGAGTTTGAATAAACTCTTATTTTGTACTTTCTCAGTCTCAAAATAATTGTCATATTTGAATTTTCAATGATAATAGTATAATAATTTATATTAAAAATGAAAATCAAAATTGCACAAATTGCACAATCACGCTTCAAGGAACAATAAACTACCAATTTGGACTATACTTTCTTTAATCAACTAAAAGATTTTATATTATTTTTAAAAAAAAAAAAAACTAATGTGTTGATCAGCCGTGCCAACTGGGAACTCTAAAGAGTTAACCTTAACAAAATTTACTGCTGACTAATTCGAACATAGATAAACTCGGAATCAATTTACTGTTGACCTCCCACAAAAATTAAAAAAAAAAAATTTCTGAATTGCTTTTTACAGTTATAAAAATTGCTCATTTACAGTCGTTAGAACAATTTTGTCCCTCTTCCTCCTATTTTTCTCCTTTCTTCCTCCTCTTCTTCCTATTCTTCTCTTTTCTTTTATTCCAACCTCAAATCAAAAAACTAAAACTCCCACCTTTCAAATTTAGATCTACAAAAATTAGGAAACTAAAAAAATGACGGATCGCGAGAAAGAACCAATACAAATTTCATTTCTAAATTATAGCTAAATTAAATTTCATTCACATACAAATTAATATTAATCAATGCACAACAAAAATATAATTAATAGTAAATTAATTTTCAAATTCTCATTAATATTGCTTATTTAAATTTAATTATATTTAAAAATATAAAAAAAAATCGATTATTATTAAAATTAATTAGCACTTCTTATTCATTTATTAAAATCAAAATAAATATAACAAGAATAATAACAATAACACAAAGATATAATTAACACTAAATTAAATTTTATATACGTAAAATATAATTATTAATACTACTCATTTAAATTTAAAAAATATATACAACAAAAATGAATACTACTCATTTAAAAAAACTAAGTATTGAAAAAATAATAAATAACTAAAATGAATATAACACAAAAAATTAAAAAAAAAATTTAAAAAAATTTCTGGTCCAAGGTAGCCGCCCAAAATTTTTTTTGGTTATATTCATTGTAGTTATTTATTATTTTTTTAATACTTAATTTTTTAAATGAGTAGTATTAATCTTTGTTGTTTTTATTTTTTAAATTTAATTAAATGTAACTGGGTAGTATTAATAATTGTTGTTTTTAAATTTGATATTTTAATTTTTTTGATTTTTTCCTTTGAGTGTTGAAGAAGAAGAGAAAGTAATTTGAATTTGATAGCTGGAGGAGAAAGATTGCTTGTTAGGGGCAAAATTAAACAACTATGAGGGAGTAATTTTTATAACTCTAAAAACCAAAGCCCCCAAAAATTTCCCAAACCTAAGAAGTAAGAACCCTAGAAGTTCCGTCAATTTGATCACGAATTGAATCTCTGAAAGCGTTTAGGGAAAAGGAAATAATGGCAGAGGGAGAGGAACAGCAGGACATGCCTCGGGATGCGAAAATCGTGAAATCTCTGCTGAAATCAATGGGGGTGGAAGAATACGAGCCTCGGGTCATTCATCAGTTCTTGGAGCTCTGGTACAGATACGTTGTGGACGTACTCACCGACGCCCAGGTCTACTCCGAGCACGCCGGTAAATCCGTCATTGATTCCGACGACGTTAAGCTTGCTATTCAATCTAAAGTCAATTTCAGCTTCTCCCAGCCCCCTCCTCGTGAGGTAATACTTTCATTTGGTGTTACTAGTTCGACTCTTCTCCTTATTTTTCTCCTATGTTTCGCTTTTTTCTTTTTTCTTTTTTTCTTTTGTGTGTGTTCAATTTGGTCCTTTCTTGAGCTCAAGAACTTGCAGTTGTTAACATTTATTGACAAATGAAGTGAAGAGCCATTGTGATTGTAGAATGTGTTTGGTGGCGTTGTAACTTTTAACAGTAATTTAGATATGGTATGAATGGGTTGTAGGAGTATAATTATTTTGCATTTCCAGCTTTTCTAAAGCTATAAAGTTGGGTTCAACTTGGAAAATGTGCTTTTGCAGACACTATTATTGGGTTCGATTGTCATGTAGACAGTTCATAGCTCCTAGATTTTGTGCAGAAAAGAGGTTGATTGCCCTTTTAATCAACAGTACTTGCGTGGAAGAATTTCTAAAGCTAATCATTCACCGAAGATGGACTCCAAAATAAGTAATGTACTGGAATTTTTTGCTGTGAGCACCAATGCCCTTCTATGATTATGTCTAAGTACTGGCTTCGTGTTTTCTCAAACTTTTTCTCATGTTCTTGGTCCAGAATTTCTTTCTCTATGCCTCTAGATTCCAATAGATTTAGAGATTCTTCTCTACCAAACAACTTGTAACAAAAAGGTAGGAAGAAGCATTCTGTTAGTGTCAATTTGTATTGTTTCTTTTTAATGTTGTCTTCTCTTGAGTGTTTGTGGTAATTCAATATTCTTGCTGTTCAACTACTTCCTTGCAGTTGATCTTTTTTTGCAACCTCAATTGATTTTGTAGATTCTACACACATTTATCTTTCCTGGTTTGCTTGCTAAAGCTTTTAATTTGATCCATCAGTGTTTATTTTGCTCTTAAATCTCTCCCATGTAAGCTCATCGATCAAAAATTGTTACAAGATAGTGCAATTTGTTTCTTATACAAGAAGTTGAGGTAGTAACTATCATACAGGTTGTGTTTACAAGTTTATATGGTTCGGCTCTTCATGAGTTCATGTTTTCAATCGTACAGTTAGTATAACACAATTGGCATGTTGGTTGATTTTTCAGGTTCTACTTGAGTTGGCTAGAAACAAAAACAAGATCCCTTTACCAAAAACTATCAATCCAACTGGAATTCCACTCCCTCCAGAACAGGACACCTTGATTAGTCCCAACTACCAATTTGCTATCAGAAAGACTCAAACCAAGCAACCAGTTGATGAAACAGAGGATGACGAAGACGCTTCTGATCCCAACCCCAACCCAAACCCAAACCCCAACCCTTCCCAAGAACAGAGGTCCGATGTCTTTCAAGGCACTCCACAACGCGTATCTTTCCCGCTTGGACCCAAACGAACAAGATGATGGCTTATGATCATCCCTCTCCTTTTAGATATCCAATTCCTTGGATCATGCATGAACTAAGAAATCATTTTCTGATTTGTATATAGTTTTTCTTGCCAACCTTAATTGTTACATGGTTGTCACCGTGAAATGTATTTCAATGTTGAGGCAATAGCCAGTTCAGATAACAGATTAGCCAGCAATCATTTCGCCCATCTGACATGTTATGTTGGTTAAGCTTCAGCAGGGCATGAAGTTAATTTAGCATTGCTGATATATTGTGCACAAAAGCTTAAACAATCTGGTGACAGAGAGCTTATGTTTCAGATATTCGCTTTGGGCTTTCTAATTTGAACCCCAAACCATCTGAGAGATGCAATTAGGCTTCCCTTCCCTTGAACCACTGTGTCAAGAGATTGATACCTGTAAATAACAAACAAGCTCACTGCAAAAACAAAACCAAAAAAAAAAAAAAAGGAGAAGAAAACAAAGGCACATATCATGTCTATAAAGCTTTACCCGTTAAACTTCGGCTTTGCAATGTAGTCCTTGAACCTTCCAGGTACTCCGGAGTCCGGACCACAGTCGATGAACAATCTTCAATGCTTTATAACAATCATCCTCGTCTTCTACTATCAACCTCTGCCCATGAATATCATGGATTTCATTCATACTCAAGTTCTTCCTGCAAACACGTCAAAACTCATCAGTCACGGCAATTCAGAGATTTATAAATTAAAATGAGACAAGCTGAGAAGCATTAGTGTGTAAGCACACCGATCAGAGGATCATCGAGCATCGATCTAAGTTGTATGGTTCTAGTTTTGAGGCCATAGTTTCGATCCAACTTTCAGTAAAACAGGTAGGAACTTCCTTAAGCCACTGGAATTGACATCTTTAGCTTATCACTTGAAATTGAAGTTACTCACAAATTCAAAGCTGTCGTTCTCAACATCCACTTGAAATACCTTAGCTACAATGTCGCCAGGAAGGAGGTAAGTCATTATCGCACAAAATTTTTTCTTTTGTGTAATCTTCTGGAGACAGTACACTGGAAATAGAATGATGAATAGATTTGTAATAGTGGAAAGGCAGCTTACATGTTTTTGTCAATGTTTTAGTACTAGGTAATCAGCATTCTCACCATCCAACAGTGGCCTGGAAATCTTGAGACATAATCATAATGTTTGCTGCTGCCATTTGTGACGGGTTAAGGTCGTTGTAGTTGGTTGTTGTGATATGCAATGTTGTGGATGGATCTGTTATAAATCTTCTTGAATCACACTAAACTCAGAAAAAAGATCAATGAGGATTTTGTAGATAACTTTTCTCACCTGGATAAGAAAGTCTGGTTTTGAGAAAGCCTCATTTCCAAAAAGTTTAGGTACTAAATCTTTGATAGAGCAATGCCTAAATTTACAGCAGTCTTGACTCATGGCATGGTTCTCTTAGCACTTGTTTTTCCATTCTTACTTAATAGCTCTGCCAAACATGGACATTCCTTAACCCGCCAACGGCAACACCATGTCCATCACCAAAGTCAGAGCAACAACACCATGAACAAAGCCACATCAAACCACAACCTGCAACAAGCGTATATTGCTTTTCAAGCTTGGAAAAGAGTCATCTACTCTGATCCCAGCAACATCACTTCAAACTGGATTGGTCCATCAGTATGCAATTATACAGGAGTCTATTGCGCCCCCTCTCCCAATAACACCAAAGTTCAAGTTGTGGCTGGCATCGATCTCAATCACGCTGATATTGCTGGTTTTCTACCTGAGGAACTAGGCCTCCTGTCGGAACTTGGCTTGCTTCATCTCAATAGCAACCGATTCTGTGGCATTCTGCCTCAATCATTTGCAAACCTCACCCTGCTCTTTGAGCTAGACCTCAGCAACAACAGATTTGTAGGCCCTTTTCCTACTGTTGTGCTTTCACTTCCTAGCCTGATATATCTTGATCTTCGCTTCAACGAGTTTGAGGGGCCACTACCTCCTGAACTCTTTAACAAAAAAGGCCTGGATGCAGTGTTTGTCAACAACAATCGCCTTACTTCGGTAATCCCATCAACCTTAGGCTCCTCTTCAGCATCTGTGGTGGTATTTGCAAATAACAAGTTTGGCGGTTGCCTTCCTCCAAGCATAGCCAACTTTGCCAACACTTTAGAAGAACTGGTGCTAATCAACACTAGTTTGTCAGGGTGTTTACCACCTGAGGTGGGTTACCTGTACAAACTTAGGTTATTAGATGTTAGTTCAAACAATATAGTCGGTCCACTACCTTACAGTCTAGCAGGATTAGCTCACTTAGAGGTGCTCAACGTAGCTCATAACATGTTCACAGGAACCGTGCCTGGTGGAATCTGCATATTGCCTAACTTATCTAACTTCACATATTCCTTCAACTTCTTCTGCGAGGAGGAAGGCATTTGCATGAACCTGACATCAAAAGGAGTTGCCTTTGATGATCGACGGAACTGTTTGAAAGACAAGCCTCTTCAGAGGAGTAAGAAGGAATGCGACGCAGTGAACGAGCATCCTGTGGACTGCTTCGACTACCATTGTGGTGGTTCTACTGCTACTGCTCCTGCCCCGGTGCCTCTACCCTCGCCTCCCAGCAGTTAGTGAGAAAAAGATAGTATTTTCATGCTAAATCGTCTCACTGATTTGTTAAAGTCATTTAAATTCTTCAGTTCTGTATGTAGAAATTCCATAAAGTTATAGATGCATTATGTTGGATTTATGTTAATTCACTTCTATACGAAATTGTGATCTTCAACAGTTTTGAGTTGCCGCAATGTAAATGCCATTAGTGGCATGATAGGCATTTGATTGGTCTCTGAACTCTTAAGGTTGATCCATATTAGTAGCTTTGTCAACTAGAAAAATCAAATTCTTGACATTAATCCATTATTTGCAGAACAATCAAATTCTTGAGCGTATATACATCAACTTAGGACTAACTTTGAACTGTCTGCGCAACTATACTTTCCTTTTTAGTTATCCAACAATCAGAATAACCTAGTCTCTCATACACCCACAAAAGTCAGGCAGGGTATGAAATTTGGAGCCGGAGATTCCATTTGTAAGAGTATTGTAAGTTTCAGAAAAATAATACACACCTATTAATGTACAAAATAATATAATACAACTCTGGGCATTTCTACAACTACATTCAATTCTTGACTATTTTCAGGAGCCGCACTTTACCAGACTCTCGCCTTTCCCTTCAACCTGATACAATATGAAGATATACATAACATGTTAATCATCAACATCATTCTATTGATTTCCCAGATTAGGATAAGGACTACTGGTATCAGCTCTAAAAGGGAGTAGCAGAAATAACTGAGATTTCAGGTTGGTGGAAACTGTAGAGCTAAGTACCAAAAAAATCTTTTCAGGGCCAAAGATCGGCATAGTGATATTAATTGAAAAGGGGAAAAAAAATTATTTCTGCTCAGGGCTGCAGCTAAACATTAATTCAGTAGTTATGAAAATCAAACTTAGGGACACAAAAAGGTCGGAAAAGGATACTAACCCCAATTAACAGGTTGACAATGCTAGGTGGTCCTCAAAAATATCAAATCCAATGAAATCAAATTTTCTTAAGCTGGCGGAAGAGGGCGCCGGCAGGTTGGGCACTCCATTTTTATGTCCATCCATCTTTGCAGACAACCCGAATGGAAAAAATGATCACATGGTGTAACCTAGAATAGAAAGTACATGATGATTAGAAGATCATCGAAACAATCAACCCTTCAAAATCAATAAAAGACTTGTCACTTGATGAAATACCATGCAATCGTTCGAGCGTTGAGTCAGATCAATGGCAGTCATACAGATAACACAGTCGGTCCCATTATCCGGATCCTGATCAAACCTTCTATAATAGCTGTACTTTTCCGGCAAAATCTAATCCACCCAAATGTAAGTCACATAACACAAAAATGATAAGTGTCAATGCGAAACATAATAGCATAACTTCGAAAGCTGAAGAAGAAAAATAGCCACATCAGAGGCAACGAGAAACATGGCAAGCCTCTCTTGGTTGGTAAAAGATCAAGACAGATAGGGGACTAAAAGATAAAGCTACAATGGCAGCATATAACTTAATTCACTTATTCTTTTAAAAAAGTTATTGATGCGGATAAGTTTCTTCAAGGTCATGGGTACCTGTCTAGGAATGAACCATCGAGATCCAAGGTAGTGTTGTAGAAGAAGAATGGAAGCTTGGAAGCCCATGAAAATACACAGACATATGCACCAGTTTTTGTCTGTATCTATACGCATGAAGTTGTGGGGGCAGCCAAAGATATACAACGGAATTGCCAGACGAGTTATTGACATTCCCAAAATATAATGAGGATGCAATGGTTTTCTTGAGTCCCGCATCACATTAGTGACAATTTGAGGAATCCAAAATGAATGCATAAGCAGAAGTATAAGTCTCAAGAACTTGTGGAACTCGTACATGATCAAAATACCACCTAAAAGAATCCCATCTGCAATATTTTCCAACATGGATATTTTTACAAATGAACCAAATTTTTGCACATGAAAACTAGTAAACAAGCATGTGCATGAACAGCAATGACATATACGACAGCTGATTGAGAGTTCTTTTTGTTAACCCATTCACGAACTAGACAGATATCACTCACATTAGGTTCCAAAATGAACAAACTGCATCATTAATCAGATACGCGATGGTTATCAAAAAGACCCACCATGGCAACAAACACAGTATGGTTCCTGTGAATAAAGGACATAAATATACCCTTCAAAAGACCCCAGAATACAATTACAGAAAACAGTAATCATATGTAGTGCCGACAGTCATCAGAACCTTGACCCACAATCCTTCTAAACGATCAAAAGAATCTCAATCCAAGGTTCTTACCTTTTGGGATATCCAGGAGTAAATAAATATAACCTTACTACAAGGATTCTCCATATTTTGTCAAATTTACCAGCACATAAAATATATGAATTGGGGGTAGTTATATATATCTTTATTGAAATTTATCAGAACACAAGTAACATTGAATAATCTTTCTTCAAATATAGTATAGCAACTAAAACAATTAAAAAAATATCATACAAACGTTGCAAATTCATTCCTTTTTCTGAATAATCATATATGCAAAATTCAATAAACCTGAATCAATTGTTTTGCAGGATAACCAATACACATTTGCATCTGCCAGGACACTAGAGGTAACAAGAAAATGTTTTACCAGTACAGTGAGCCTGGTAAGGTAGGGTAGTATCGGTTAAAAGCCAAAACCTGTGCCTTACTCAATCTTGTACTGTTCCAAGATCATCCCTGTTTGATGTCTAGGGTGGCCTATAAACCTTAGTAACTCCTCTAAATTTTTCAGCACAGAATCTTATGAATATACTACCAAATTAAACTTTCTTCCAGAACAGTAAATCCACACTTTGAATAAATGAAACTTACAACTTAAAACAGCTAGATATCCTCTCTTTATAAAAATTTAAGTCTAATAAAAGATCAAACATATCATTAAAAACATCATCTAATCACAAAACTCAAATAGCAACGAACTATTCGCCATTCGGATGTACACTAAATAAAGTATGCTAACATCGAAGGAATCTATAATATCAGTAATTAAAATACTGCAAAATAGTTTTTCAATTAGCACAATTGATCTAAATCGCAGTAAACAAAAGCAAGTTTTAACCCCAGAAATTGTAGAGAACAGGACATGTACTGATGAATTTCACCCAGAGCTAAACTTTTATAGGGTATTTTGATTTCATACAAGCAACTGTTGTAAATATGGCAACGGATTTATTATAACCATTTCATTAAAGATCACATGATTATTTACAGGTAACTCCACATAGTGAGATAAAAGGCTCCGTCATGCTCATATCATATGGTTAATTATCAATCTATAGGGTAAAACCCGATACCCAGTTTAGATATAAGCCCAAGTTATAAGCTACATTTAAGTTTTGTATCCTTATATTACTTAGAACTTTTGTATTCTTAATTCTAACTTTTCTACCCTGCCGTACAGTGCAGTGTGGGTTGTGGTACAGGTCAATAATATCTATTTGCTTCCCCCCAACAAAAACAGTACAAGAGGCTGAAACAAAAATAACCATATATACGATGATTAAAGTCAACAGGCAGCTAGAGGGCTTAAACATTTCGCAAGACATACATTTGAAAATATGCGTAATACAAGAGTATACTCACAGAAACGGCTGTAAAGAACAGACAGCTCACGCCTCATTACTTCCCATCCCTCTCCATTGTTAGTAGATCTACTTGCTTTCCATATGGCAAGAAGATATCGCATCTCGAATATTGAAAACACTACAAACTTGAAAAAAGCAGCGGTTGCAAAGGCATTGAATAAGGATTCTGCAAACAAAGAAACCATCAACCATCAAGAATTATGAAGAGCAAAAAACGAGGTCAAATTGAAGTGAAGAATGGTGATAAAGGAAGAATGAAGATTCACAGCTTAGTAGGTAAAAAAGAATAGATTGTACAAACAGGACTGATGTCTATGACTGCAAGGCCTGGATTTAATTATGGATGGGATATATGTATCTTTACAATATAACTAGTTTCAACCACTACATAAGTAACCCAGGAAAAGCTATGTGGGAGGATTTCTCAGCATGAAACTCGAGCTTAAACATTATTCACTACCCAGGCGTTGATCACGTCATAATACACAAACCAGGTCTGTGTAATACACTTGATTTTTAAATAGTAAAGCCAAGCATCAATTCTAAAATCATATGTCAACTCCCATTTAACTAGGACAAATACAAAACGGAAACAGAAGTTTTTCAACTTAAATTCGTATATTATACATTTTCAACTTACCGACTAAAATACCAGCTGTCAGATGCAAAAGACAAAGGTATGCATCCATGATGGCCTGTTGCCCGATCATCCAAGTAGAAACTTTGGCAGCCCCCTATCAAAAACACATCAAATCAATTCTGGATTTGATCTAAAGATATTTGGATGAAGGAAACGTGCTACTAATCCCCAATGACCATATTGATGGAAGTATTTACTCATGAGAAAAAAAAAAAGAATCCGAACCAACTACTGAGCATTATGAGATCTTACCGACTGTGTGTTACTGTGTTCCATTTGTCGAATTAAGAGGAGAACTTGAAGGAAAGAAACCTATTGTATCAAGAAGTTAAAGAATCCATGCAAAGAACTTGGTGATATTACAAAAGTATTTCAGAATCAAAGTTGTTCAAGGATACAAAAGTGACCATCAGCGTGTAATTAACTGCTTTGTTGTAGTAGACCTCGATATTAACAGAAGTGGCATTCAAAGCCATGGGTGAAAAACAATCCCCATCATCATCCGCTGAGGGGCTTTCCATTAATCCTTCAAGGTGATATCTTTCGTGTTCTCCATCTAAAGAAGGATAAAGAGAAAGCTTATTATTCTCCAATCAACACAGGCAGATAGAAGATGCAATTTCTTAATAATACGAATTATGTGAAGCAAACATCCAATTCTTTATTGTTCCAACTCTTTCATCTAAGATCTTCTACTCCCAGAGGCAAAGAATCTTTATACTACATGTACAATGCGGAAAGGGAGACTGGGATGATACTTCTACAGTTTATACTACTACATGTACAATGCGGAAAGGGAGACTGGGATGATACTTCCCATTTTCACGAAATTCTATCACTAATATAAACTGCTTAAACGATAAGTCCGATAGATTCTGATATGCAAGGACAATGCACCTTAAGCTGGAATCTAAAATGCAAGCTGTGGAATGAAAGTGGCAAGATCCATTGACGCCTAACATTATATGTTTGTTAAAATTCAACATGGAATAGGTATCTTCTGCTCTTACACCTTATATGTATAACCTCTCACCAACGTACTCATATTAATTCTTCTGAAGTCTGAACAAGTAGAAGTACTTAAACACTTTCACAAAACAATATTTCAGGAGAAAGTGGGAGAACAAAGAATTTGATTTCAGAAAACTAAGGTACCGTTTTGAGTGGGAGAAACAAGAGAGACTTGTGCAGCAATTTCAATATTGCAATGTTTCTCCATTTCATAAATTGGCGCTGCAATGGAAATATCTCAGTCAGCTTAAGAATCAACCAGGCAAACTTCGTGAAGAAGAAAGAATAGCATTACAATGTTTTCGTTTCCAAATTTTCTCCCGCGGAGACTCCTGAAACACCTGGGAGGAGAATACTCCAAGCTGCCAAAGAAGTAATGACAGAAAGGTCAGATCCAATTCGAATTTGTCAGCCAATCACAATAAAGTGAGAACTATTCCTTCCCATTCTAAACACACAATTGACAACTACATGCCAACTCATCCTAAACAAGATCTTTCTAGGGCATAAAACATTCACCATACTTTAGGAATGGATATCAAAGTGGTCCTGCCTGGATTGATCATTTATCCCAGTTTAGTCTAGAACCTATGGTTGACTTGCACATGCTAATCAAAGTAGTATAGATAAAAGGGGTTCGGAAAGAGATGACTAAAATGTCTCTCGAATGGGTTCTTTTCTCAGCTCTCTCTACTGAAAGTAAAAAGAAAACCAAAAGAAAAACATAAAAAGAGATGGGAAATAGAAAAGCAAGCAACGTGAAGAAAAAAAGACTGCAAAAATTTCTTGTATGAACTACAATGACCAAGGTCCTTATCATTGTTGCGATTGACTCAAAAGAAACACACTTATGGATGAAAGCATCTCTCTTTTAAATTTTCCCAATCTATTGTATCAGGCTTAAAATACAATTTTTTCTGAACTTTACCTTCATGAAATAAATATTAAAATACACATCAGGAAATTTTAATGATGAAACCAACAACATAGCTATTCAAGACTTTTCAACATATTCAAAAAATATCCACGCTAACTCTCACAAACACCAATTCAGGCTTCCATTACTATCAAGTAATGTGAGGCATACAACCACAACATCCAGGTGTCTATCCCACTATATAAAGATATGTGAGCTATGATTGAGAACACACAGGCAGGTTACAGAGCAAAGAGCACTTACCAAGTGGTAGGGGTTGGATAATATATAATCATCTTCCTGGCTGAACTCACCCTCTTTCCCACTGCAATTACAACAGCGACAAAGGGTAAGCACTAGAAACCTCGAAAAAAAGTTTTCAAATTGATTAGAGAACTCAAGAAATTCATAGAAGAGCTGCTCTTCACATATAAAACATCCACATAAGGGGAAAAAAAATTCCCCTGCAAGTTATGGTAAGAAATGGCAGAAAAGCTTTCATTCCCGAACCATGACAAAACAAGAACACCTGGACATATATCAAATTACAGCTATAAAGAAATTTCTTGGAGATTGTCAAGTCAATATTTATGCAAGCCACAGCATTAAGTGAACGAATTGGTATGCTGTATTCCATCCATGAAAATTAGGCACAACAGAGCATAAATCAAAGCAAATGCATATCAGACTTGACTAAGAAACTCAAAATTACCTGTAAGCAACCATGCGAAGCTGTCTAAAAGGCCATATATAGACGCCTTCTACTCTAATTTGAGCGCCACCAACCTCATGCTCATTGTCGTAGACATCATGAAATATTAATACCCCCTGTTAAATCCAAGAAGTAGGCAGGAAAAAATGCATCAAATAAAGAATTAATATTAGAGATTGTTAGAAATTCTTATAAAGAACAGAAACGAGTATTACATAGCAATAAAAACAAAAAAGATCAATAGTTTTTAACATGTTTCAGTCAGCATTCTAGAAATGTAAGACTCAGTTCAACAACTAAATAAAGAACAGAAACAGCCACCAGGGAAATTAAAGAGAACAAAAAGCAACACACAACTAAATAAAGAACAGAAACAGCCACCAGGGAAATTAGAGAGAACAAGAAGCAACACACAGTGAGAAGGACAAAAACTGCAGCATATCAAGGGGAAGAGGGAAGACGGGGGAGGGGGGTAATTGGATTTACTGATTCATATAAACTCCATTTTGGAGTTCAAATATATTACGACATAAGTGAAACTCCATTCATAATTCATTCCATCTTTTATGAATGCCAATAAGGAAAAAAAAAATAGAAATATTTTATTTGCAAGGTTATTGGACCAATGACATTACCTGAACATAATGCACACCACTAATTTTTGTTGGTGTGCTTACCAATTCCAGGACAGAATTTCCACTAGATATTTTGAAATCAGGAAACCTTGACGAGCCATTTGAAGATTCTAGAAATCTCCATGATCCTGTATGACATACACTGAATCTTATTAATAGTCAACTACAACGTAAAGAGACATTGTTAAGAAAGTTCACAATGGTAACCAGTCAGCAACTTAGGGAAAACTTCTGCATGTCTCATAAAAATCTCAAATACACTAATTCAGTTCAGACATAAGCTCAACTACTGGATAAAAGAAACCAATTACCATCTCAACAAAGTACAAAACTTAGTTTTAAAATGCGAGAGGCGAGCCGAGGCGATAAGGGCCTGGAGAGCCGAGGCATGAGGCGTGAGGCGAACTCTTTTATAAAATATACTTTTCATATTTATGCCATATAATATAGTGAATTAAACAAGTAATTTCAACATTATAGGTGTCAATTATAGTCTTAAATAGATGAATATAGAAATTTAGGGACCAGTTTTGTTAAAATATTAAAATATAGCAGTATATTTGAAAAGTCTAAACTTGATTTTGTTCAGCCCATGTCAAATGGGCCTTTTTTAATTAAGTAGCAAACAGCCAAAAATAGAGAAACACTTTCTCTATCTTTTTCTCAGCCGCCGCTGCAACTTTTGGCCGCCCTCCTCTCTTCTTCTTCTCTCCTTCTCTCACTATCGGCAGTCAAAAATGGTCAAACGTCATCCTCTTTCTCTCTTATTCTCTTTCTCTTCCTCTTTCTTCTCCTTCTAATGCCTGACCTTCTTCTCCCTTCTTCTCTATCTTCTCCTTCTCTTCATATTGGTCATGGTCAACGGATTCCAAAACCAGTCAAGAGGTTGAAACCGGAGGCGAGCGCCTCTTGCGCATCACGCCTCAAGGTGAGGCGAGCGCTTTTCGCACATCGTACTCGCCTCACGTAATCACATCGCATCACCCTCCCTGATGCGATGTCCTTGTCGCCTCACCTCGAGGCGCACCTTTTTAAAACTAAGGTACAAAATTCATTTCATGGATGTATTAGCACAAATATACATATGAAAATTACCTGACCTAGCACGATGACTTCATACACCCATATAACCGACCCCGAATAGCAGGATAAGGCTCAGTTATTATCGTAGTTGCTTCATACGCAAAACCACAGAAGAAACGAACATGATAGAAACAGAAGCAATGCGGGATACTCAGAAAAGCAAAGACAAATTCAGGGTAAAGCAATTCACGGAATGAACGTATAAGTAAATTCAGATGTAATGAAGTATGAAAGTAAACTATCAAAGGTGAAAAATAGACATCTTTGCAGCATCGTAAGTAACTGGTTGAAAACAGACCAGCATAAAATTGAGAAACTTGCATATGTGGACATGAACTATACAGAAACATTGCAAATTTTTCCAAGTTCCGAATGTCTCCATAAGTTAGTATTCCCCTTCAAAATCATCTCCATTCATCACCAACATTTACAATTTCATGCCGAAACAATTTAGTAGGAACATGGGCAACTTTGAAACTAGAGCATATTCAAATTATTATTCAACTCTGAGAACAAATTGCATTGTTGATAAGAAGCACCAAGTTTTACTGGATTATCACCCACACTTACAATATGCCGAAACAATTTAGTTGGAACACGGGCAACTTTGAAACTAGAGGCATATTCAACTATTATTCAACTCTGGGGACAAATTGCATTGTTGATAAGAAGCACCAAGTTTTATTAGATTCAAATTTACATACTTTAAAGTTCCTCTTCATTAGTTAAAAGCAATTATAAACGCCTCCTTTATCTATCAACAAATAATGAACAAAAAGCCTAAATGAATAAGTAAAAGAAGAGAAAAAATGTGTGTGGTAATCACAAAAAATATATCCAGATGATAACGTGCGTAGATATAAACTTGACATACCTCTGTATGTTCCAGTTATATTCCATGGAGAAAAAGGGCCCAATTCACTCTCTTTTTTCCTTACAAATAGCCACTGCATGAAGCACCAAAAAAATTAATTCTGGAAAGAGACATGTGCAGTTGGATAGACAAGGACATATAATATCATTAAATTAAGTCATCGACTTGGTGCAAATTCACTCTATAATTTTCTTTTGACACTTGAAACTCAAAAACTTCCATCTAACATGAACCTTTCAATGCTGAAATTAATTATTCATCTAGGGAGGGAGCTATGCCTGTTAAAGCACATATAATTACGATTAGCTACAAGCATTTAATACATATTTTAGCCTCATTTTGCAATTTCCTTGTACCAAGCAGAATGTTGTCATATTACTTACATGAATACAGATAAAAGTATCCATATTAATCAGGAATAAGGAGATTAAGTTCTGACTTGTGTCTCCTATATTTTATTTTAATCAAATTTGTCAGCAAAACACCTTGATTTTCATATCAGATCAGACTCCACAACATGTAATGTTCAAAACACAGCAAATAAATTTGCAACATTCTCGGTTACATTAACGAAAAAATCATCAAATGTTAACATATTCATTACTCCTAGAACTTGGATGACTCAGCTGAATGACCTTGCTAGATTAATAAATGCCTAACCTTCCTTTTTTACATTGGATATCGAATCAAATTATTTCTTTTCGCCTAGCAAAAGATTTAGAATTCATTAAAGCACGTAGATTCTCCAAAAGAACCCAGCCGACACTGATAACTTTGCATAATTTGAGATCAAGGGAACCAAACAACCCAAAATGCATTAATTAAACCTCAAGAGGTAAAATCAAACTATTTCCACTATTCCCGGTCTAGTATATTAACAAAACAGTTGCAGAAACTTTCATACCAACACTCCAAAAGGGAACAAGAAACCAGAATGATCAATCAAATTTTTTTTTCCAATTTCTGAGTACATATATAAGATAGCATGACCAACAGCCTAAAATGGCTGTTATTATGTCGGATTACCAGTCATCATCAGAAACTAGGCTATTTCAGTGATTTCATCGAAAAACTAGTATGGAATAGACTAAACAACAAGGCTTTGAACAGTAAACTTAAGCATACTTCATTCAAAGAAAACAAGATATCAATACTGAAGCTCAAACACGAAAACATAATTTCTCAGCTCAAGTCCTGCTCCTTTTGTTAGATATTTTAAGAATCAGTTATGCATTTACACTTCAAGATTTCAGCCTCCAATAGAACTAAAACCCCAGATAACAAGAAAAGTATAAATTAGGTCTTTTGGAACCTTTCAAATTGAATGACATATGCTTTTAATGCACTGCCTAAACCATCAGAGGCAATGATTACTTTATACATCTGGAACTAATCTACGTGCCTCCTACTGACACACTGTAGAGCATCGTAGACATCAAGATGGACCACGATACTTCTGGTACAAAACTCATGGTCATCGAGCACTGACACTTTGCATGAAGCACATTTTTGTAGACCATATAAGAGGTGAAAGTTTTTGCCACCTAAAACAGTGCACAAAGGATTATTTATATTCCAATTCAACAAACTCTGCTATTATCTTAAAAAGACCATGGAACGTAGATTTCAACTTCACTCCACCCAGCTGCCTCATCAGATGAAACAAAAGCACTAAACCAAGGCACTAGAAGTGCTCAGAAGTCAGAATTTCAAAACTTTAGCTCACAAACTAACATTGCACCAGTAAACACAGAAAATCTGTATGTTACATATCCTTACAGTTTCTTTTTACATTGTCAAGTAAAGATCAATATTTTACCCTGCCACGCTTTAGTTTCAATTAGAATAAAAATCATACTCCGTCCATTACAAGAACAAAAAATTGAAGGGGAGAAAAAGGAAAAGGGGCAAGATACATGAATTAACAACTTAGAACAGCCACAAACTGCAGTTATCAACTGAAAAAAAAAAAAAAAAAAGTTAAGAGAAGCATAAACGCTATGTAAAACTATACAATTTACACAGTAGAGCGAGCTATATATCTTAATAATTCAGTGCTAACCTCATCGCCCCATGATTGACTTCTTTCCCTCAAAGGCCTAAGCCCCAAAACAGGCTGAAAAAGCGAAGAAAGGAGCCACAATCCAAAGCAAAATCTTGCCAGTAGCCCCGAATTCTTCTTCTCAAACCGATAAAAGTCCAAACTTTTCATCAAACCCATACCAAAATCAACTCAAATTCTTGTCCTTGAAGCTTTATCCAGCAAACCCAGATGAAACAATGATCCCATTACACTTAAAAAGAGATTTTTGGTACCATGATATAGTGTATAAATATATATATATATATATAAAAAAAAAAAATAGAGTTGCTTAAAGTGAAATCAATAAGTTTAACTAACCCCCTCACAACAAAAATGGTTTGAGGCACCGATCAATCCAAACAGAAAGAGAAAGACCAACAAATCAATCAGTAGAAATGCAATTTGTACCTAAAGATTATAGGAAAAGTCATGAGAAAAAGAACACAAATTTATGGGTTTTTTCTTTCTTGGAGTTATAAAACTTTAAAACAAGGCCTCCACTGGTAAAATTCAGCACCAGAAGGCAGAAACAGACATACCCACCTTCTGCTGCTAAATATTTTGCCTTTACAATAATACTTATTTATTTAATTAATAAATAAATGTACTAGAAGGGAAAAAAAGAAAACAGTTATTGGGCAAACAATTTACTGCAGCATTGATTAAATTTTTAAATACAGTCATGCATTCAGTAGAGATTCTCAAAAGCCAAAGAAATGAATTTTAGGGAGGATGATGAGTGAATGACTGAATGAGGGAAGAAGAACCAAAAGGAAGAAGAGTCAAAGAGGGCAGTTTGTTTGTGACTTGACTTTCTGTTGTGAGTGTAATGGGGGATGAAGATTGCCTGATTTCCGCCTGCTATGGAAAATAATTTAATAATAAATTTTTAAAAAAAAAAAAATAGCTCAGTCACATAAAGCTTATTCTATGGCAATTTTGTTGTGCCGTTTAAATTTTATTCTTCGGTTTCAAAATTTTGCGAAAATTAAGGTAAATGTATATAATTATATCTTTCTGTTTAGGTACATTTTTTACAAACACTTAAGAGAACTATATTTAATGTAATATAATACAATTATTTCAAAATAAGAAATATTTAAATGTAAATTAATTAATCATACTGTGGGGAAAAGAAGTTAGAACTAAAAGCAAAATATCATTTTTATCTTTCAAAATCAAACTTTTGTTAGCCTCTTACGGAAACATAAAATCAATGGTGCAATGCAAAAGTTATGAGTAGTCATAGGGGAAAATAAAATTATTTGGAAAGGAAAAAACATTAAAATATAAAATACTCACTCCGTCCCAAAATTATTATCCAGTTTTAATTTTTATTTTTAATATAAATTGAACTAAAAGTTAAAACAAAAAATAGACAATAATTTTGAGACAGAAGGAGTATGAAAATTTGTTTGATAGATAACAAACCCAACAAACTTTTTAGATCATGATCTTAATGGAAATAATTCATTTTATGCATTTTAACAGTTTAACGTCAATCACTCATTCCTCATGTTCATATCATTTTGTATAGTTAACAAATATTTTCTTTTAAGCCTTTGATACAAATACGCATTAAGTATAATTTGGGACTACAACCTTTGTATTTTTAGAGGTATTTTTTAAATAGTTTCTATTTATATTAAGAATCTAATCTATTACAACACATTTTATTATAAGCTAATTTAACATTTTCTAGTTTTAAATATTTTACAAAATGAAAAACTCAAAACTAAATCACGCAGTAGTGCAATGATTTATTGAGCTTCCGTTGGGATTGGCACATAATTAAGATTTAGCGTTACAAAAGAAAAGGATAGTACATGGTATATGTGACTTATTGAGACTAAATTGGAATATAAAGATAAGTATATCTACCGTGATATTAATTTTATCGCTGACTATTTGGCATTATTGGCTATTCATTGTACCGGAAGGCTACAATGTTTTGAAAATCCACCATCAGGGATCAAACCGTGGTTGGAACATAATGTTATCGGGGTATTGTACTCTATAAATGTACAATCTAGGCATGTGCCTTTTTTTTCACTGTAACCAAAAAAAAAAAAAAAGTGAGAAAGGAAAAGGATATATTTTTTTACAAATAAAATCAAGTAACGTTACGAGAACTAAGAAGCTGCTTGTTTGGGAGGTACTTTTCGACTAATAAGGAGGTGCTTGTTTCATGGGTTTCAAACCAAAATTATAGGTTTCATTCTCAATTCTTAAAATTGAGGTGCTTGGTTCAGGTTTTGGGAATGGTAAGGACCCACATAATTGGGAATGACTCCAAGAAATCCATAACCCAACTTTTCGGTGGGTATGCCAAGTCTATCAAAGTAAAGCTCCATTTTTCCTTTTTTGACCCTTTATGGTTTTTCCACTTCCTCATTTTGTAGCCGTCGCCATCTCCAATTTGATCTCCTTGCATCTTTACCAATTGAGTTCCAACACTATGGCAGTCAACATTGGCAAAAGTGCTGACAGCGTACACAGTATGGTGGTGCGGAGAATCACAGTGGTTATAGTGACTGGACACTTGTTTCATAAAATATAATAGGTTTCAAATCTTGTTCATGTATTATCAAAAGTGATTTTGATAAGTTGGATGTTGGCTTAAAATTGAACATTGTGGATTGGAATAGAATTTGGATTTGGAGATGTTGCAACTTTATGCATTGATTTTATTCCGTGTTTCAATTTTCTTCCTTTTCTCCACTGGGCTACTAGATTTGGTCCATTTGAATGTAATATTGATTTTTGGATTTAGTTCATGTAGTTGTTTCTCCAGTTTTGGGTTGAGGTTGCGGTGGCGGAAAGGGAAGGGGCAGCACCACAATGGGTGGTTCTGCAATGGCAAGGTAGAAATAAAGGATAGAGTTTAAGGATAAAAATGGAATCTTATACTAATTCTATTTTCTATTATATTTTAATTAAAATATCTAAATTTTAAGTTTTGATACCCTTTATCATATATTTTCTATGAAATCCATAGCCAGGAATCAAAGTGATGTTGAACCAGGCACCTCCTAAAATCAAGTAGTTACGAGAACTAAGAAGGTGCCTGGTTCACCGAAAATGGGAATGACATCCAATGGAATAAAATCCAACAAGATGGAATGAATCAAAATGAGATTGAATTAGTATGCTTGGTTAGGATTTTTACTGTCAATGAGATTCAATTGAAATTCTATTTTTACCCTTATTTCAAAGACAGTAGTTGCAAACAATTTCGGCCGAACTTCGATTGAGTCATCCATAGCCTTCTGTTGCAGGTGACCGGCGGTCTTGATTTTTTGTTTTCCATCGGCTTCAATCTATATTTCTTTTCTTTGTGAGAGTTTTTGGAAATTTGTGCATGCTAATCATAGGATTGAATAATCAAAATTCCAGCAAGACAACAAAAATATTACTACTAGAAAATATGGTTAAGGTGATTGAGGGAGATGAGGAAACATAGATTTTTTTCAAAATAAAGAAAAAATGGCAAGATTCTGTGGGAGTGAGTTGGTGGTCATGGAGGGGAAAGAAAGAAGATTAGAAGAATCTGGAATGTGGGAAGAGGAAGGGGGCACTGGAAAAGAGGGGTGGAAAAGACAAAGACATATAAAAAATTAATTTTTCATTCCTAATGGCCTAAACCCACCAAACTTGAGGGGAATGAATTAATGCACTGTACATGGGATTCAAAACCTAATGTAGTGTATCATATACCTCAACTAAGCAACTCTATTCGGAATGAGACCCATTCCCTTAGAATGACACCCCCGTAACAAGCACCTCCTAAGAATGTACTTGTTTAGGAGGTTTCATATCTGTGTTAAGGGTTTCATATTAAATTGCAGTGCTTGGTTCATTAATAAGGAATGATGTTGGCCTACAAAATTGACTTTCATTTCCATTTATTCATTCCACCCTAATTTGGTAGGTTTGAAAGAAACAAAAGAAAGTGTCCAATTTTTCCATCTTATTACCCCTATGTCTCTACACTTTCTTTAAACCTTCATTTTTCCTCTCATTAGTCATTCATCATTTTTGAATGAATTTTGTGACTTGCTGTTCCTTAATTGCTTATTTTGAAATCCAAATTATAGCCAAAGTTCTTCACTTTTTTGGGGTTTTTTGGGCACTCCGTCAATCCGCGCTCATTTTCTTCCGATTTAGAGAGCGAATTTTTTTTGATTTTTTAACTTGTGAGGCATCAAGAATTGATACAGCCGAACTTGAAAAAAAGAAAAAGAAAAAAGAAAACCCAATTGATAGAGGCGGCAATAATCGATGTAAGATTGAAATGGATGCGTGTTTTTGATGGTGGAGAAGATGTTTCACAGAAGAAGGTTAGTTGCCTTCATCATCCGCCCCAATCTTGATTTCACTTTAGAAGAAAAGGTGAACTTTACATGGAATGCACATTGCATCTTGATGGTGCTCCTTTTGGACTTCGCATGAGAACAAAAAAGTTGGCTGCCATATTGTTGGAACCGGCGACATAGATTTGGAGGTATGAATAATTTGGTGGCCGCCGACGGAGATTTGGAGGTGCGGTTAATTTGGGGATTTGATTTTTCTACGGCGGAGGATAAAAATGTAATTTTCTGTCTATTCCAAACATGAACCAAGCTCTTGAAAATGAGATAAGAGTTTTGATAGTCTAGGAAATCAATCCTTTAAACTATCAATCCTACTTCTAAATCTGTATTGAGAATTAAAAATTACTTTTTCTATGTTGAAATAATTTAACAAATTGGACCTATAGAGTTATTCCAATTATCCTCTTCTTTTTTTTTTCTTTTTTTTTTAGAAAGAAAATCTTTTCATTAATATGTAAGAATATTACAGAATCATAACACCAAGATTTTTTTTTCTTTTCTTTTGGTTTGATTTGCGGGATGAATTTGAGATTAAAAAATAAAAGATTCATGAAAATTCATCCTAATTTAAAAAATAGTTTTTTTTTTTAAAAAAATTATTGTTTTCCCCCTTTGTTAGCATCCAAATTCGCACGCTGGAAATTCATCGTCTAATTGTTTTTTTAAAAAATAAAAATAAAAACAAAATAAATACTACTACAAACGACATAGTTTCATCTTCTGGGTTAGTCTGTTTAAATGCCCGCCCTTCTTCTCTTTCTCAAAGCTGCAGCAGAACAGAACTACAGAACCCCAGAACCACAGAATTTGTGAACTGCAAAGTTACTTCTGGAATTCCGTTCAATTGCCGGATATTTCCGCCGGCGGTTTGTGCTGTAATTCGGAAGACAGAGTGATGGAAGGTTCAGTGAGGAAGAAGGGAACAGTGACGCCAATCTCGTCCTTGTTCTCGCCGGAGGATACTCAGAAAGCGTCGGAGCGCGTTCAGCAGAAGATCGCCGAGCAGCACAAACACCTTGACGTACTGAAGGGCTTTATCTCCGAAAACACTGACCTTATCAACCTCGTACAGACACTCCCCAACGAACTCCAGCACCAAATTATGGTCTTCTACCGAAAACCCATATTTTCCTTTTTGTAGTTTTCTGTTTGCGTTTTATACGTTTTCCTATTTTAGGTTTTCCTTTCATTGTTTTTCTTGTTGAATTTGTTTCCTTGTGGGTTTTATTTAGGTACCATGGGGAAAGGCAGCATTCTTCCCGGGCCAGTTGGTTCACACCAATGAATTTGTGGTAATATCTTCGTATGATTTTTTATATTTTTCTTTCCTTGATGTCTGGACACGATCACTCGTAAAATGTGCTATTGGATATAAGAACAAACAACTGAATATTGGTTGTGTCTTTTACTTACTAAATTTTGCAGTTTTAAACCTTTGGTTCCTTTCGACTTTGAAAGCGAGTAGTTTTGACCACAGCATTCCTGCTTTTGATAATTATTTGCTAAATGGATTTCATGAAATTTGAATTTAGACATTTCATCTGGATGAGTGTCCATGTCTTTAAAGTTATGTCTGTGAACCAGCTGAGAAGTCCTTTTGTACTTCTGCTGTGATTTTATACCGCTTCTATTTTGAAACTCAAATTGTATGTTGCTACTCGATGGAACTGGATCAAATTGTCTGAAAGGTGTAGTTCGGCCTAGTTACATGCATCGTATCAGAAACGTCTAGATAATTGATGCACTGTCTGCAGGTTCTTCTTGGTGATGGATATTATGCTGAAAGAACCTCCAAGCAAACAGTGGATATTCTAAGAAGAAGACATAAGGTTTTGGAGTCTCAAGTTGACTCAGCCAAGGCTGAGATTCAAGATCTCAAAACTGAAGCCTCTTTTTTTAATGTTACAGCTCATGAGGCAGCGGTAAGACTACTGATTTCGTGCTGGTGATGAACTTAAGCTGTATGAATGAAGTTATCGCTGGCAATTACCAAGAGCTTTACCCTTTATGGATGAACCTATCGATGACAATTACTCGTGTGACATGAGCCAGCTTTGGCATTTGTGCAATGCATTTGAAAGTCTGTAACTTACCATTACTGTTCTTGCTAGTTGAACCATCGCACCAGAAGTCTGGAAAATCACTGTCACGTGTTAGAAAGATTTGAACTTGTAGGTTGAAATCAGAATATTATTGTTAATGGGCTTTTGGAAAAGGTTTTGTGTTTTTCCCCCATGTTCAGATTTACTCATACAAGAAATCACATCTAATTTAGTCTATGTTATTTGCTTTATTTGTTGAAGCATTACTGTTGTTTCTAGGTTATTTTAACTCTGGATAAAAGAACTTGAGATGTCTTGGGAATAGTATCTTCGTTCATGTTCTAAAGGGGGTGATATGTTTTGAACAAGTGGTTTATTTGCAAACTTTTGTGTCGTTTGAAAATCTCTCGTTGCTGGATTCTGGCATTATCTCAACAAAGATTCATCTGTCATTTGTTCAGGACTGATCTATCTATGGATGTTCTTTCCTTAAAAGATTTTAATTCTTAAAAGATAACCTCAGTTGGATTCTCATTTGTAACTTGTTTATACAACAAACCAAAGCGTCCAATGCACGCCCTGTTGATTGTATTTATTCTTCTTGAGCATCAATCCTCCTATTGCCATAATCTTGATTTCAGCTTTCTAAATATTCCGATATCCTCTGTTGCACTATAGTTGTTTCTCAACTTCATACGAGGATCTCCTTGCTATTTACTTTAGTTCATCAATATGGTGCAAGACCAGTTTAAAATGCAAATTTAATAGATGGACGGCTTCTGAATATGTGGTTAAATCTGCAGAGTGGTCTTGTTCAAATAGTCGAAGACTATGATGAGGAGAGACCTTTTCATGATGCATCTAATTCAGGCAGGTTTTCTTCTTTTGTGTGCTAGCTTACCATTGAACTCATGTTTTATGCTGCAGCATGGATTTGATATTGTTCATTTCTCGATGGTATTGTACATTATGCACAGAGTTTTTCGGGTCACATGCAGTTCTTATTGATGAAATTATGTATAAATTATATTTTAAAGCATGAGTTTAGTTACTTGTTCCAGTTGCAGTTTGTTTGCTGCGTTGTCGTAAAAGTTCTACTTAAATATCGTGTATGAGTTATTTCCGTATTTATTTTACCAGGGTACCAGCACATTTTAACTTCACCCTGTCAAGTGTGAAACTCTGGATGATATGGCACAGATACCCTCTCCTCTCCCTTGAATTTCCATTTGTTTGTTGGTTTATACCACTGAAACTTTGCCAAAGTGATCCTTATTCAAAGTCGATTTGTTTGGATATTTCCATTAGGACATTGAAGAGGAGGAGTGATGCAGGAAGGTTTCAGAAATATGGGTAGCTTCATATTAGGTTTAAGGAAAATAGCTGGAATCTTCTTAGAATAAAGTTTCCTTTTAGTTTAATTTCCTATTTGCTATATTACCTTAATTATGAATTAGTTTTAGGCAATTTTAGTAGCTTTAGGAATAAGCCAGGCTTCTCTATAAATAGGGTGGTTCTGCAGTAGTTGTGATGGACGTTATTTTGGTATTTTATAAAAACCAAGCTTTTGAAGCTTCCGAAGACTCTGTCTTTCCGAAATCCCTACAGCTAGGCTTTGCCTTTCCATCTGTTTTCAATTACCCCCCTGTTCCCCATCAAGGAGTGCCTAGCGGCTGCATGATTTTTGCCATTATCTGTGATTTTTATGAAGAATAATATAGTTGATGGTGTAATTTGGCCTTCTCTTTTTGTGCTTGACATGGTCTTGAAAAAGTGCAGCTCAAAAATTGGTTATTTACAAATGTGCTAGTCTTTATCATTCCTCAAGACCTGTAGTGTTTCTCAGGAAGATTTACCTTGGTAGTTCAAACTTGCATATGGGTGATGTAGCCTTTGCATTTCACATGTCTGGAAAAAGCTTGCATTTATAATTTTTTTTTTTTTTTGGTGCTAGTCACCTTAAAGTAGTATATATCTTGAGTCTCCTGCACTCATACGGAAGTATGGATTGTGTCCTTAGAATTCTCTTGGTAACACATTTTGCTAACCCATAAAATTTACAGGTGACATTTCTAGTTATGCTGAGAGTGAACAGGAAAAAACTGGAAATGAAGACAATGAATATGAACGTATCATGGCGCGCCTTTCTGAATTGGAGAAGGAAGAAGAAGCAGCTGAAAATGGTGCTGAAAATGGTGATGAAAATGAGGAGAGTGAAGAGGATGAACAGGAAAAAACCGGAAAAGAAGATGATGACTATGAACGTATAATGACCCGCTTGGCTGAGTTGGAGGAGAAAGAAGAAGCGGCTGAAAATGATTATGAAATTGGTGAGAGTGAAGATGAGGCTGATCAGAATCAGAATGAAAATCAATTTTCTAGAGATGAAGTTGTGAGACACTCGGGGGTAATACTGCAGTTTTTGCATTTCTTTCCCATATAAATTTTAGCAGCATTTTCTATTCCTCATCTACGTCTAATGGTATAGATTGCACTTAATATCCCAGTTGCTTATAAAATTGGGGGAATCTTATCAAATTTCCTTCAACACCGAAGTCACTCCCAAAACTATCTTCTAGGAACACCATAAAAATAGTTAGTCGGAAATGGTATCCAATATATGTGCATATGGATGATATAAACAGCTCATATAAGCTCATCGGTTTGCTGGATACCTGCAAAACTCTTACCAATCGTTTCATGTCTATTTCTGGTTTCTTACCTGCAAAATTTTTGTTGCTATGTAATTTCTTTTTAAGTAATTGTTGCTAAACTGAATAGTCAAGAATTTTATAAACTTCTTTCATGGTCTAAAGTGAACTATCCCAATGCAGGTAAATGATCAAAAGCAGCCATCCATGTTCAAAGGTGAGTCTTTCAGTTAACAGTGCTTCCTTCGTTGATCCTTGAGAGTGGTCTGATTGATTTGCAATGGTTCTGTTTTGAAATCTATCTGTTATTGGCAGGATATAGATCCACTTCATAAGCATCAAATTAACTCATTTGGTGCTTTTGCATTTTGTGGCAGTAAATTGCATGAGTGCTCAGCATTTCTTGTTTCCCACTTCAGTTTACAACTTCTGTTCATGAGTTTAATGGTCACTGCAATCCTGTGACCTTTTGACTTCTTATCAATTTTATAGTGGTAGTGAATCCTATTACTTGAGTTATTTCATTTTCCTTTTGTAAATCCATAAACTCTGGAACCTACCTGCACTGTGAATCTTATGTCTGTTCTCCGATATTTCAAGTTCTGCTGAGTGTTCTTCAATTTAGTGTTTTTTTTTTTTTTTTTCCTTCATAAATTTGCTCTCTTGTTGCTTCTTTAAGGTGTTATGCCACAAGCGCAAGCTCCAGCATCCTATAAATCCAGTTTAAGGGAGAATGCCGCACAGCTTCCTGAGATAAAGGAAAATCTCCAGGCTTCCCTTGCGGCGAAACATGAGGTATCATTTCCTTGCACTTCTCTAGTGTGATTTATTCAACGAGTATACTAGAAGTTTTAGTTGGATAAATAATATTAGGGAACTTGTTAATTCCAGGAAAAGAAGTTGCCCTTGTTGGATATCCTGTCTTGCATATTTACTTCCTGAAATAGTTAAGATAAGAGAAGCAGTAGTTTGAGAATGTACTCCCTTGGTCCAGCTGTTCTGAAATATGTCTTGTTTGTTGTACTAAAATATATAATCAAATTATGCTCTCTCTCTCTTTTTTGTTTTTTGAGATGGAAAGAGTAATATGTAATCAACTGTGTATGGGAAGGAGTTAAGAGACATTTTTTATTTTATTCTACGCAGGCTTCTATTCCCCCATCGCAACCACGCTCCAGCACTACTAACAAGGTAAGCCTCTTTTTGGTTATAGATTCCATTTCATAGAAAACGTTTCATGCCCTTCAAACAAGTGTTGAACTTTTCTTTTTCTTTTTTTCAGGCTTTTACTGGTTCCGTAGTGGAGCGCAGCTACAACCTAGGGATGAAACCACCAGAAGAGACCACAGCAAGTAGCTCAAAGCCAGTTTCAAGATTCAAAATGAATAGGAAATAGCTTGTGTGTAGTAGGACAATGAAATTTAGAAATCGTGGAGGAAATGAGTGATATATCACACCCCCTTATCTAATTCTGATTACAATAACAAAATGGAGAATGTCAATTGTCAATGTTGCTTTCATGTATTTACAGATCAATTACATCATTTTACAATGACACTGACATCGATCTCCCTACAGAGCCCCATCCTAAAATATCTATTCAAAACCGAGGTGAAAGGAGACCCCTCTATTCACAAGATTTCCAAAATACTCTATAACATGTGCCCTACTGGGGAACATAACAAGAACATATCAAGTGCCCGGTAGCTTTGCTTTTTTATTCTTATAGTTCTGAAGTAATTTTTCCCGTTGTTCTGGAGTTGCTGAAAGTAACCACTTGCTTAGCTGTACATCTCCCATGCCCATAAACAAAGCTAGGGCGCTATATTGCCTCTTCTTTCTCAACTTGGATGAAGCAGCACTTTGTATATTGTTTGCCTGACCATCCGATTTCCTCCTGATACCAGGGACAAATGACACTTGTACATTGTCTTCAATATGCATGCTCGACTCTCTATCTCCTTTTATCCCAGGTCTTGAGTTAACGATGTCTTCATTTCGGTGGTTGTATACAATACCTGAAAAGGACATGAAAACTAAACAAATGAAGGTTCGGAACAACAGAACTATACCCAAAGTTATCACTCTGATTTGCCTAATACAACATGACACTAAGTAAATCCTAGAACTCACAGTTTTCTTCGAGCTTTATTTGCAAATTAAAGTAAGTTACACTTAAGAAAGTCATCTTGGCTGACTCCCAAAAGGAGTAAAAAAACTCACCCGCATCTTCAAGTACTGGTTTGGCTTTTTTTTTACCATCGTCTTCTGATGAATTGTCGTCCTCTGATTCAGTTGATACTTGAAATGCTTCTTTATACGGAAGAAAGGACATCCCAATACCAGTTATATCTGCGCTTGCATTTGCAGAATTCGCATGTTCCATTTCTTGCTTTTCATGCAATTCAATAATTTCACTAGTGAAAAGCTTATCAGATAGGTCGCGGAACAGATTGCAGATCCCAAACAGTTCTCCTTGAAATTTTTTGCAGTCCTAAAAAAAGCAAAAACCAACGCTCCTAACCATCTGCCGTGAATGAAAAGATTGCATTAAAGAAAACGAAAATCAGCTTATGTACCTGGACACCTTCAAAATATCGTTTCTCCATTTTCCCAGAAACAGCAATATTTGCCAACTGTTGCTTGTAAACCTGCCTGGTATAAACAAGTTCCTCTAAAGAACCTGCTGCAAGGAGACGGAAAACAACTACATGCCTCTTCTGGCCAAATCGAAATGACCTATCCTGGGCTTGTAAATCCTGAGCAGGGTTCCAGCTTGGGTCAAAGATGACAACATGATTTGCACTAACAAGATTGAGCCCAAGCCCACCAGCCCTTGTTGATATTAGAAAGACCTGCAATGAAATATTGAATTAGAATTTAGGATATCACAGATTACCAAAGCACAGTCACGTCCAAACTAACCTGTTTGCTTGGACTTGTGTTGAAGTCATCTACGAGGGACTGACGTAACCCAGTTGGAGTAGAGCCATCAAGCCTTGAGAAGCAACAACCTTTGCGAATAAGGAACTTCTCTAGTATGTCTAACATCCTGCTCCGTTAAGGAAAAAAAGAAGAACATGAGAGTAGGAAAGAGTTTCCGTCATAGTCCATAGAGATGGATTCACAATGGAAAAACTCATTAGAGAATTGGAATTGGTATGTGCTACAAGCGAATACCCACATGGAAACTGACAAATTCTTCTATCAAAACTCAGTGATATCATAGCACTAGAATCTTTATTTAAAAATTTTAAAGAGAGATAATATGCATTTTAAAAGTGTTTCAGATTGGAGAAACACTCAAACTGCTACTACAAAATTACAACACACATTTTCATCCAGGAGAAAACAAGCATAGACACGGACGACACTAAAGAAAAAGGAGAACAAATAAGCATGGATAGATTCATGAAATGAAGAGAACATGTGACAGCAGCTTACCTGACAGAGTAACTAAAAAGAAGAACCTTGTCCCCTTCCGAAAGCCAGGACAACATCAGTTTTTCCAAAGCCCTCATCTTACCACAATGTTTCACATCACTCAAGCCCATAAAACTCTCATTCTGGGTAATTCCTCCAACCAAATCAATATCAGTACCAAACACAGCACTAGCGAATTCTGCATCTTTTCTTTGTTTATCAGGATCATCCTTTGGATTTGGTTTGATGAGCTCCAGATGATTACTCACCTGCCAAACATTCTAGAGAGTAAGGATAAAGTGGTTTCAAACTTTCAATGTTAAGTGAAAAAAATGGAAATAAATACAGGAGACTAGAAAAAGTAGCAACATTTTGTCTGAAGAATCAACTATCGGCACACATTATACTATGTCTACCAGAAGGAACGGTACTATAAAGCAAACAATTGTCCACAATTGAACAACTGCAGATGGTGGCTTTTTGGATGACTGGGATTGTTTTCAGCTGTAATATTTATTTCTCTAATAGTTTGTTTCCTAAAACTGGATCCTATAAAATATTCTACATCATCTATGATCATCTCTATTTCATATACCCTGGTTATTCTCCTAGATGAGCTTCCTCTATTACATCACTACTATGTCAACGGCAATATAATTGATGTAAAGTATGGACTTCGAGCTTCTCAAAACCTAGCAGTTTGATCTTAAACCCGTAAAACTGCAACTAAGCCAAGGTTGGGTCAGGAAGAATCAGGATTTGTCAACCACAAAAAGTTAGTTCTCAAGATTCCAGTTGTATATTCACATAAATTTTCAAAGGTGCACAGACAAATAAATATTATACACACACCCCTCTGTCACATACCTGCTGCAGCTTCACAAGACAAGGAAGAACAAGGCAAAAAGGGCAAGAATCACAACCATCTGGATTATCTCTGTGAAGGTAGGGCCAAATGGCTCCATCTGGAACTATTCTTTTGCAACATTCTACTTGCTTGAGAGGACTACCACAGCTACAAGGAAGGTCCTTATTTATAAGGCATTGAATGTCTGGTAACTGCAACATCCTTTGATACGCCCGTTTCTGCAACTCACTCATGGCACAGAACACAACATTATCTTCCTTACCCCGCATAAGATGGCCAATAGTCTCCTCCTTTGTCCTTCTCAGTAAATATTTACGTAATACAGTGACTAAGTGCTGTTTTCTCTCTTCAGCGACTTTAGTGAACGTTTCAGGAGCACTTGACCTTTGGCCATGTTTGAGAGGTTCATCATAATAGTCCCGGAAATGTTCACGAGTTCCCAAGCAACCAGGTACTACCCAGTCAAAGAGATTAAACAATTCCATTATTTTATTCTGCATTATCGTACCTGTCAGACCATAACGTTTCTGCGTTTTTATCTCTAAGCATGCCTTATAAAGTTTGGACTTCTCATTCTTGAGCCTGTGAGCCTCATCAACAATCATAATCTCCCATTCGACCTTCAACAGAGTACCACCATGAATTCTGTAGGTGTCAAAACTAGTTATAAGTATCTCCACTTCATGTGCTTCTATTTTGTCAATCATCAGATCGCGATTAGCCCCATGATAAATAGCTACAGAAAATGTTGACCACTTCGAAAATTCATCCTCCCAATTGTGAATAACAGAAGTGGGACAAACTATTAGAACAGGCTTCTGAGGCTGATTGTGGTTCCTTGATCTTAGGTCACTACTCTCTCCATCCTTTCCAAATACAGCAGCCAAAAATGCAATTGTTTGAATTGTCTTGCCCAATCCCCTGATATAAAGGAGTTACGAGTAAATTTCTTTGGAACATAAAACAGCACAAAATCTTTGGTCTCCTACAAATGAATAAACAAACCCAAACAAAACTACCTTTGAAGAAGAATGAGAAGAGAACTCACATGTCATCTCCCAGAATGCCTCCATGGTTGTTCTTGTACAACTCAAACAAAAACTTAACTCCAGCCCTCTGATGGTGCAGGAGTCTACAATTTATAGATGGTGGGACCTGGAAAACAAGGGATTTTATTCCATCCTTTCAGGCATAATCAAAATCTCATAGATTGTAACATATTAGTTTCAAACACAAACAGCCTGAACTAAAAAGAAAATCAGGTATTGGATGGAAACATCACAGGATGGGCAATCCGGAACCCAAATTGAAATACCAGAGGAAACAAAAAAATGAGGAAAAAAAAAGAACAAAAACACATGATCTTTTAAGCAGAAGAAACTTCAAAAGTCCAATGTAATCATCCATAAAGAATTTACTTCAAAACATCAGAGGAAGCAGTTCGACTAAGTGCTTTTGACCATCAATGCCACTGAGAAAATGGTAAAGGAGACTGTTCTACCCCAATTTTTTGGTAGCTAGTAAAGAATCCAAACCCAAATTCATTACTGCAACATGCTAACTATATACATTACAAGAGGAACAAACAGAGTTCATTCACCAAAAAAAAAAAAAAAAATGGAACGCATTCTAATCAAGGACTTCAAGAACATTCAATCTCCATATATCAAATCAACAAAATCAATTCCTGGGGCATTTGCGAAATTAATCAGGTACAAGATGAACAAAAATAAAAGTAGAAAATCTCCAGGGTTGTTGCAAAACAACAAAGCATAATAATCTTTAAAGAGTGAAACCAAAATTTGAATTCGTTTTTTTTTAGTTTTTTCAGAATTTTTAATTAATATCTATCCCATCCCAGCATATCTTTTTACATTCCCAATACACCTTTTTACATTTCTAATACAAAAAAACACACTCAAAAAACGATCCAAACATAATCAAATGACTCGTATTGCAAACAAAAGAAATAAATCGTCAGAACTAAAATAAAACAAAACCATATAAAAAACTGAAGATCTTTGACACAATAGAGAAAGCTGATAATTACCTGAACAGCAGGAACTTCCCCTGGCAAAGACAGGAGTAACGGTTCATAAGGTCCTGTGTGATCTAACTGTAAAGATTCCGACTTTGGTCGAAAAATTGTATCTTTCTTCGCCTCATCTTCTTCACCATCATCCCCATAATTACCTTCAGAACCCAAAAGGGTCTCTCTTTTTGTAGATTTGGGCTGAGTTTGAGTCAGAGAAACGTGATGGTCTTGCAGGCGCAAAAGCTGTTGAGAGAGTGAAGATTTGGGGGGTTTTCTAGGGTTAACAGAGGAGTCATAATTCTGGGAAAGTGATGAAAAATATTGGGTTGAGGAAGAAATTGAAGATTGGCTCCCACTACAGGGCCTAAGGCTCTCCTTGAAAGCTCTCAAAGACATGGGGAATTGACTCAAAAGCTTGAATCTTGAAGAAATTCTTGCAGTGTCATTTTTTGACTGTTGGAAATTTTTTAAAAGTTGAGAGTTTATTAAGGCTTTTATATTTTCAGTTGTGGACCGCCTTCACTTTGTACACCGATTTGAATTTTTTTTTTTTTTGCCATTTTTTCCTTTAAAACAAAAATTTCCTCTCCCTCTTCTAAGTTGAAATTTATCACCCCTTAAAAAATACAAAAAAAATAAAAAGTAAAAATCACCCCTTAAAGTTCCAACTGTTGTACCTTGGTTACTACATGACATTATGAGTATTGCATTATCGAAATATACTTGTAAACTAAGCGTTTTTACCTCCATCTTTGTACCTAAAAAAGTTCAAAATGTTGAAAAATTAATCATTCTTATTACTACGTACCTCCATTCCAATTTATAAGAGGCTTTAAACATCATTTTCTTATTCCTTTTTATAAAAAGTTTTAGATTTGTAAATAATCATTTAATGAATTTTTCCTTTTTTACCCCCACAACAAACCCATTTAAATATTAAATCAACCATTTCATTAATGTTATTGGGGATACTTTGGAAAATTTGCAGTAATTTGAAGATAAATGATTAAATTTTGTTAGTTTTATTGGTACGTGTAAAATTAGTTATTGACCTTTTATATTAAAAAAAATGGAGATAATATTTGATAGTATAAATAATAAGTCTCAGATGAATTCAGTTGATATCTTAGTGACAGTATGTTGTAGTATTTTTGTGCATTTGGTTGATAACACTGTTCCAATATGTATTCTAATTATATGTATATATAATAACATTAATTAACTCACAAAACATAATTAATATCAACAAAAAAAATTGTCAAGTGCCTTTTTCTTGACTCACGTGTTTTTTCTTTTCTTTTTTATTTTTTGGAGTTCTATTTTCTGCTGCACAATGACTTTGGGTATGCTTAATTAGTTCAACTTTCATCTTAGACGTTTCATATTAATTATGAAACTCAAACTTGCTTCGACTCATTTTAATTGCAACTACGAGATGATCGTGATGAGAGTACTTAATTAAGTTTGGGCGTTACTATCCTTTATTTTTGCAGTTGCATACATTATACTCATTCATAATCGTACTTTTTTGTTTCGCCATTCTAACCATTGAATTGATACTTGCATTTTACACTATGGCACCAAGCTACTTAAACTACCAAAAGTTCTTTAATTTCATTCCCTACGCCATTCAAGGAGTATAATTCTCTTTATTGTTAACTACTTTATGTAATATGTTTTATGGATAAAACTAGTACTCTCTTTGTCCCAAAATTATTGTCCAGTTTGAGATTTTACTTTTAGTATGTACAATTTATACTAGAAATGAAAACCAAACTGGACAATAATTATGAGATGGAGAGAGTATGTTACAATACATCCAGTTTTAAAAATTTCAAAAGCGCCAAAATATGTGCAATTATATTGCAATTCGCGATATAAGGTCATGTTTATTAAAAAAGTATATATTAAATGTGATTCCCTTGTTTTAGAAAGGGAGAAGTTTATATGAAATGCAATTTTGTCTACAGAAATAGCCTCTGCAATTTATGCCGGAAAGGATGGTTATATGTATAGATAAATGGGTGGGAGAGTTAGGTGGGGTGGTTAAGGAATTAGGATGGAGGATGGTTATTACCGGGAGGTCGAAGGTTCGATTCTCATTGGGCCATACAATTTTTTTAAAAATGTATAGATAAATGAGATCGGTGAGGTGTTCAATTGTATTTAAATTGAGGATTTTATGGTTTACACATTTCCATTATAATAAAATTTATAATGCTATTTCGTTTTTTGGACAAGAAAATTCAATTTTTACCTTATAAATAGGATAATTATTTTGGGGTGAAAAGAGTTAAAGGTATGTAATTTCAACATTAGAATTGAAAGAATACCAATTACATCTTTCTCCTGGAGCATAATTAAACATTAGCCTAACTATTGCTTGAATTTTCTTTTCTTTTTTTTTTTCATAAAAATTTCAATTATGATACTCCCTCTGTCCCATAATTATTGTTCGGTTTGAGATTTCACTTTTTATACAATTTAAACTAGAAATAAAAACTCAAACTGGACAATAATTATGGGACGGAGGGAGTAACATTTTTCAGACTTCACCGCTGAAAGTGTAGAAGAAGGGAGTAACAAATGAGACACAATGACATCAAAAACAAAATGTAGGTAACAAGTAGAAGTAATTAGTGAAAAACCCAACTCAGCATAAATCTCTCAATTCACATCTGCCAAAGATTGCATCGTCAGCTCCACCGTCTAAAAAGTCAAGAAAATGTGCGAAAACCAGGAGAGAGTGCTTAAATTTTGTGTTTTCATGTAAGAAGGAAGGAAGGATGGATGATGGATCATGCATGTGGTATAACCGTTGAGTCTCAAAACTTATGACAATTGTCACTTCTCATCACTCACACACTTAATAATAGCCAGCTTTGCTCTTCTGCTTCTTCTAAAAAACTTCACTTACCAAAGCAGTAACGACAAGCTTTGCATTGAACTCACACACACACACACTGCATAATCCAACGGTAATCTCCCCCCTTCACCTTCTCCTCCTCCACCATAAATAACTCTTCTCTTCCCTTTCTCATTTCTCATCCCCAAACTCCTCTCCTTTTTTTTCTTTCAGTCTTCCTCCATTTCTCTCCCTTTTGTTATCATTTATATAGTCTACACCCAAATACTTTGTTCAAATATATCAAAGCTTCTATTTTTTTTTTTTTTCTAGCTAGCATCATTTTGCAATTGGAAAACAAAACAACATGGAGTTTGATCATCGTATAACAATCATCATCTTTTTGTCAATGATGGGGTGTTTTGCCTCATTTGCTCAAGCCTACACATTCTATGTCGGTGGCAGAGATGGTTGGGTCCTAAACCCAAAAGAAGAATACAATCAGTGGGCTTCAAGGATGCGATTTCTCATCAATGACACCTTGAGTACATACACATTATTTACACATCTAATTCTAATTAAATAATAATGATAATAAAAGCCGTGTTTGTTGAACTGATCGATTAATATGTCTATTTTTTTTTTTTTGGTTGTAGTCTTTAAATACGAGAAAGGGCATGATACAGTTCTGGAGGTGAACAAAGATGACTACTTCAACTGTTACAAAGAGAAGCCGTTACAAGCTCTCAAGGATGGGGATTCCGTTTTCAAGTTTGACCGGCCCGGCCCGTTCTTTTTCATCAGCGGCCACGCTGACAACTGTGCAAAGGGTCAACGGATCATCACCGTCGTGTTGCATCCCAGAAACCCTCCTCCGGCACCGGCTCCGGTGCAAGTACCGGTGCCTGCACCTGCTGTTGTTGCCGCATACCCTCCTCCTCCTCCTCCGGCTCCGGTTCCCGTCGCCGTCCCGGTTCCGACACCGGTTGTTGCCAACTCTCCACCGCCGGCACCTGCCGCGCCTAGTCCGGCCCCGGAGGCTGACTTGGCTCCTGCCCCTGCTCCGGATTCAACCGGTGATGCTGCCGCCGCCATTGCTGGTGGTTTAGCCATGGAACTCAGCTTCTTTTTCATGGGCATGGCTGTTCTTCTTTTGCTTTGAGGAGCCTTTGATGATCATCGGTGGTGGAGGGGCATGCATGTCTTTTTACTTTGTAATATTTCCATTTTTTTTTTTTTGGTTGGGATTTTATCCGTGGCGTTTTGTCTCTTTGTATTTCTTTCTATCCAGGTGTTTTAAATATAGGACAAATGTGCAATCAAAATTTGTTTTCTAATTTTCAAGTCCTTTTTTTTTTATTTTTTTTTACTTTTCTGTATATCAAATTTATTTCTCGCTTGCAAATTTGCTTAGTCGTTATTCGCAAAATATCAAGCAATCACAATATATAGATAGATATACTTAATGTTATCTCATAAAACACTTGTCAATTATCATTAATATTAGTTCATTTTACTATTCTAGTTTAATACTACAAACATATTGACAGAGCACATAGTACACATAAGTATTAAACCGCCGTAACATTTATACTCCACAAGGTAACGGGGCTTAATTACCGCTTAACCGATAGCCTGACAAAGATTCAAGTCATGTGATAAATTAATTATTATAGCTCCATAAAATTAAAAAATTCAGAAGAAAAACTGACACTAAAACATCCTACAACATAAATATACTGTACCTTTTGATTCTTTCCTTTGACTTCTTCTCTTTATTTTTCTGGAAGGGTTTCAGATTCATCCAAACTCCAGGGGGGGAAAAAGGAGAAGAAGATGGGTGTAACAAATACGTACTCCCTCCGTCCCATAATTATTGTCCAGTTTGAATTTTTATTTTTAGTTTAGAAAGTGAAATATCAAAGTGGACAATAATTTTGGGATAGATGGAGTACGACGCCAAAGAAAATCAGCTTTGACGCCAAAGAAAATCAGCTTTAATCCCAAAAATCGTACTCCCAAAGAAAATCAGCTTTAATCCCCAAAAAAAAAATGTGATAAAGGGACTCATTTTTTTATAAATAATTTACAAATATCTTTCTTATTCACAGTTATGGTGGACAAGATCTGATTATGATGAGATCAACTAATTGAACAATTTTTTTAACACTCACTGAGGATCGATTTTGGAGTGCGATGAGTGTTGATTTGTTCCAGTAATTACACCTTGACTAAATATTTATCTAATATAGGCAAAATTAATCTAAACTCTAACAAAAGCTTGAAGGGTTTTGTTGAGGAAAGATATACACTAGCAAAAGGAGCGAGATATCACATGGTTCGTTCAAAGAGGATAAGCTGAAGCCTCCACAATTTCCGGAGGATTAAGAACCTTTTCAATTGAGAATTGAGATGAAATTATCTCACATTTGCTGTGAAATTATGCTTACTGAGTTGTAAGTATTAACAGTATAGAATGGTAACCTTACCTTAATTACACCACATACATTAATTATTGGTGAATGCCTATATGAGATCAAAGTTTTAATCATAGAGTTTTGTGTTCCCATATTATGCGAACACAAAAATACATACTGATCATTTCAATTCCTCAACACCTGCAATATCCATTCCTAGCAGCCTCATTTTCACCGTTTAGGCCCCCATTCATCACTATATGTGAGCTCGACCTTCATGTAATCAATATATCAAAGAGTAATGTGTACTATTTCTTATTTGATTAACGCAATCAGTCGATTCACATAGACCCCAGAAGAAGTTCCATTTTAATGTGTTTCTACCTTTTTGTACTGATGTGAAATTCCATTAGACTTGTTACAAATCATATGCACTGAAATTTCCATTAAAATTTTATGAACGCCCAGAAAATTGGATTGGTGACATTCAACATTGCATCTTTTGTAATGACATTAACACTCAATTTTTCCAACTTTCTAACTCGATATAAATAAGTAAAGGACAAAGTGACAGGTTTTACGCAACATGTTGAAAACTATGGAAACGCACATAGTGAAGTAGTACTTGCTTCTTCAAAAGCTCCTTAATTAAACGAGGAACCAAATCAAATTAAGCGATCAAACTAAGTTTCGAATGAACTTATGAATGAACGCATAAAAATCAAAGCACTGAAAAAAAAGACACGAAAATTACTCAACTAAAGCTTAACATTATTGACAACAAATCAAAAAAAAATGAATAAAATGTCGACCGACCTTCAGATACAACAAGATCAAGCACATAACTATCAGCATGTTTGTTGACCTCCATAACAATTTTCATCTTCTTCAAGACTTCAACCAGTATTTCTAGCACATTTGGTAATTTCGGTGCAGCCCCTTCTATAGGGATTTACTACTCCATGAGCGTTACAATTATAGTAAGAATGCCCTCTTCGATTACAAGGGATATTGTCACCTGTCATCGCACCATAGCTAATAGTTCGGCCGACTGAACGGGTTAGTGATCTTCTTTCATAAACTCCATGCACTCGTTCATACGATGAAGCTGTTGACGATGACGAGGAATTAACGAGAATGGCTAGTGCCAGGACGAAGATTATGGTACATAATCGAAAGTATTCCATTTATGATCTGTGGAGGCGGCGGTCTTTCGTCAATAGAATAAAATGTGTAAGTGGAAGACTTAATGGGAGATATATTTTGATTGAGATTGCTAAGAGGTAAGGTTGAAGAGCTATTCGTATGGGATTTGAAGACTTTTGAAGTTAGCTACGAGTCCGATATACGTGCTCATCAGTCATCACCATGATAGATTTAAGAAATTAGACTTTTTTTTTTTTTGGAAAAAATGAATATAAAGTAATTAATTTATATAAGCCTAATTCGATCAACTGGGGTGCTTTTGAATAGGGTTTAGAAAATTCAATTATATATTATGGAACTAATTTTTCAACCCCTTCACATTGACAACAAAACGTGTTCAATGTATATTTTGAATTATGTATTTAAAATCTTAAGTGAGAAAAACAAACATGTCGATGTACACCGTAGGATGGGGGTTTCTTAGCTCCAGTTTTATCTAGATAATTTTAGCTTTGTGTAAGTTTTTTTTTTAAAATTATACTACCTCCGTCCCAAAAAAATAGTCTACATTGAATTTTAAAATTTGTGCTAAAAACAGTACAAAATTCAAAATTCAATGTGAACTATTTTTATGAGACGAAGGGAGTATTTTTATAGTTTCATTTGCACGAACTTGGTTTTGATAGAGACTATATGTAGTTTTGTTGTTTGAGATAAATCTTAAGGCTTGTGATATTATCAAAGCAATAATTAGCCACCAGAGCAAAAATTGCTATAATTTTCTAAATACCCTTAAACACTCAAGCCTGGTCTCCGTTCATCTCTTGTCCTAACTCAAATTCTTTGCAGATTATTATCTTCTTCCTCTCAGAAAAGAATTTTCCCGACTATCAACACTTTTGTTAGTCCTCACCACATGATATAGAATCATCACTATCATAACTCATATCCCTTATTCTCTCAATCCTGAGTTTAACTTTCAACTTGAAAATTTAATTTTGGGCCTTTGCATCTTCTTCCATAAAAATTCAAGAGCAGACAAATTTGTTCTATTTGAAGATTTGGATTCTTTTGTTTATGTTAGTTTTTGTTTATATTAGTCAGAAAAGTTAAATAAATTTTTAACTTTGCCATTGAAGAAAATGAAAGAGACTAAGAAAGTAAAGGGATTTTATGGATTAAGGAGTTCCCCATTCTCTCAATCCTGAGTAACTTCAACTCCAAAATTCAATTTTTGGCCTCTCCATCTTCTTTCATAGAAATTCAAGGGCAGATAAATTTGTCCTATTGAATGAAGATTTGGATTCTTTTATTTACATTAGTTAGAAAACTTGAATAAATTTATAACTTTGTCATTAAGTTTTCTTCATAAAAGTAAAGGGATTTTATGGATTTAGGGGGCGGACAAGAAAGTAGAGGAAGGGGATTTGTGGAAGGAAAAGAAGAGACTTCTTGTAAGAATTAGGGAGGTGATTTCAAAATTAATTTGATGTCGTTCAGGAGTCCGGACTTCGACTATATAATTGAATATCTTGATTACATAAATTTTTGCACTGAGCGAATAGATTAATTGATGGAATTTGCTACAACTTTTTATAAGGATTAAGGAAGTCTACTTTCTTTGTTGTCCTTATGTGAAACCTTTGTTTAGCTTTACCATATTGAGCAATGAGAGAGCTTAAAACAAATGACTGATATTTTAATGAAACTTAACTTGTCCTGCACAATAAATTTAATTAAATTGCATTACAATAAATTTAATTAAATTGCATTACTTTTTATTAAATTACGGTGTCTATGACATGATAAAAGTAGTGTAATCTTTAAAATTGTAAGAAATTTTCATGATAAAGGGTTAAATAAAAGTTTGTAAAGAATCATCTTATCCACAACACCGGAAAAAAGAAATGAAAATTTTGCATTTTCGAGATCCAGGATCAGAATCCTGGATCTCCAAAATGCAAAATTAATAAAGCTACCCTTCTCCTTCCCTTACTTCGATGATCCTGGATCTCCAAAATGCAAAATTCTCTTTTCCTTACTTTGGTGATCCTGGATCTCCAAAATGCAAAATTTCCATTTCTTTTAAATGTATAATTTAGAAAATGATAGCATTTTTTTTGCTCTTGAGGCCAATCAATGCCTGACAATATAACTACTCAAATCTTAAACACTGATTATGTAATTACATAGTTTAATAATCAATAAAATTCGGATATGCGCCCACGCCAAGTACCTCGTGATTACTTAAACAAAACATTTTAATTCCTGGATTTGTAATAATAAGTTCTAATATTTGCAGTGGTTTTTTAATATAGGGAGAAAAGAAAATGCTTCAAGGAGATGTGGTTTTAAGTATATTTATTATCTGGGTAATGCAGGATGAAAACAAAGAAAAATTCATCAACCAGCAATATCAAGGGCCTTAATTGTATTTTTACTGTTATTTTAAAGGCAAAATTAGTTCTCCCTCAACTTTCTCTCTGTAATATAATTCAGTTAATGTAAATCACTTGTAGTAATTTCCTGTCGTTGAGGTATTTAGATATAAACCGTAGCTATAAACATGATTTTTTTCTTTTTTTTTTAAAAAAAGAAATTATCGATAAAACTATTGTCCATCTCAAAACTTTCTAACGTTAGCTCTTTTACCATAGAGTGACGAAGTATTTAGTTTGAATATTCTAAAATGTGATGCATGGCATAAACTGGCATTCAATCTTTCTTTCACAAAGTAATATAATGGGAAATTTATCGACAGTCCACCTAATTAAGCCTCCAAGGAACAAGGGAAACAATATCTTCATACATTGAACCGAATACAAATAAAAGACCTGAAATTGCAAAAACATATGAGAAAAACATTGAACAACACCTATTACATGTAAGGAAATATGGAACAACACAACTGATGAGTCTCTCCATTCACTGGTTGAGAATTTGAAAAGAAACTGAAGATATCAATGTGACAGCTGAAGACAAATATGTAAACGTTACCAGGAAATCAAGCGGACACATTCCAACCTTTTTCCTTACTTGGATATTTTTCACCTTAATTATATATATGGTTGATTATATTCCCTTTAATTAATTGTCTCCTCGATCTGTCACTCCATATATATCCATTTTTTTCCCAATCAACTACTATAGTAATAGTACTACTACCGGATACTGTTTCACTTATTGCACAAAAGGGTGATCTTATCACTAAAAATTCTATGAAATATTAATTAAATTCTCTGTATGATTTGTTGTGTACTAATCGTGTCTTATAAGTGAAACGACGCGACTTTTTGGAAACTATGTGACCTCATATCATTATAAATTCTATCATTTCTACAGATTTTTGTCAACGATCCAAATATACTTCTTATTTCTAATAATCATTTGGTAGCTAGGGTTCCAGAATTGAAGCCAATATGAATCAAGGAGGAGCAGCAACCAGCTTTCCTGGTAATAACATGATGAATCAAAGAGGGCCAGCAACAAGATTTGAGGCTGGTAAAGGTTTACTACGTTCAGTTGAGCAAATCAAAGCTGTGGAAGAAACAAAGGCTTTAGTTTGTCAGCTCTGTGCCAAATTCTATAATCTTGGATGGCTTTATGGAACTGGTGGAAGTCTGAGCATCAAAGTTCATGAGGAAAATGTGCCTAAAAAGAATCAGATCATAATAATGACTCCTTCAGGTGCACAAAAGGAAATGCTGAGGCCACAGGATTTGTGTACTGTTTCTTCCGATGGAACTTTTGTTCATTTCCCATCCACGGGAACGAAATTCTCAGATTCTGCTGTTCTTTTTCTTAAGGTACATTCTAATTGTTAATTATTACTCCATCTTAATTTATACAGTTGCCAAGTAAAATTGTCTCCTCTTTATAGCTAACGTATTTTCTTGATCATATATATATATATATATATATATATATTTTTTTTTTTTTTTCTTCTCAGATTTACGAATTGCGGAATGCAGGAGCTGTGATACACAGTCATGCTCTAGAATCTGTCATAGTGACAAGGCTTGATGATTCTGCGAAGGAGTTTCGCGTAAGCGCTTCTTTTGTAAGCCCTTCTTTTCTTTCTTTCAAGAACAATATAATGCTGTATATGTTGTCAATTTGTCAAGTAATTTCGAAGTTGTTCACATTTAATAAGTATTTTTCTGTCCCAAAATTATTGTTCACTTTGGATTATTGTTCACTATTGAGCTAAAAATGAAATCCAAACTAGATAATAATTTTGAGACGAAAAGAGTACTTGATAATTCATAGGTTAATTATATCTGTTGATGTGTTACCAGGTGAAAGACATGGAGATGATTAAAGGGATAGAAGGCCATGGTTATGGTGATGAAATTGTTATTCCGATTATTGAGAACGCTCCACATGAGTCTTTACTCGCGAATCCACTTGCGGAAGCGGTATGATGATCTTCTAAAAGTTAATCTTCATGTTTTAAAAAAAGTCGACTATTTAATTCAATAAATAATTTTTTCCTCCTTTTCTAAAGGAACGGAAAAGAATAGTAAAATGTTGGGGATTTATCTGGAGGAAAAAACCCGACATGGAGCCCAATAAGTTAGTTAAGACTCATCTAAACTCAAAAGCTCAAGCTAATGGATTTTGAGACCACCTTACTTATTAACTGATTCACATGTCCTCATGCCTCCGAAATTATTAATTCCACTCGGAAATTATTACATTGTTAATTCCACTCTGGGATTCATAATCCTTGCTACATGACTCTCAACATAAAATTTCATTACATTGTTAATTCCACTCGGAAATTATTGTAAGAGCACAACACTTTCTTTGTACTATTACATGTAGATAAGTGCTTATCCCAAAACGAGAGCGGTGCTAGTTCGACATCATGGTGTGTTTATTTGGGGAGATACCTGGATTTCTGCTAAGACTCAGGTGTGTGTTAATTATGTCGACATAGTACTTACATGAACAAGTTTTTCCTTTTTTCTGTTTTGGTTATGGATAAATATTTTGACGTTTAAGTCATCATCATTAACTGTGTATATCTTGTATGGTCTTTTTGTACAGGCTGAGTGTTACCATTACCTCTTCAAGGCCGCGGTTCAAATGGACAAGTTGGACTTTTTCCAATACTGAGGAATATACCACAACGCATCAACTCTGTATATTCACAATTTCGTTGGAGTTTTGGAGGTCAAGATGCACACAGAATGCTGAGGAATATATATGCATTGGATTTTTATTACTTCGTTGATAAATAGGGTGATATTGTAGCCGTATAAAAACGTATGAATGCTTGGAGGCACACCAATCGACATGCCGCGATTATATGGAATTAACAGCTGTATTTCAAACATTTGCGCAGTCAAAATGATTTGGATTTTCATTTTGCTTTTATTAAGACGACGTACGTTACGTAGTTCATTTTTTTGTACTAGGATGCCTCTTCTCTTCAATGTCCATCTCCATCTCTTTTTTTTAAAAAAAACTCGGAAATCTTTGAAAAATGAGAAGGCATTTTTCTTTGAAAATTTCAACTGCATTAACTGAACAAAGATATAATAAATACGTGTTACAAAAAGATAAGGTAAACAATATCACGATAATAAGTTATACTTCTTCTAACAGTGACGGAACCAGAATGTAAATTCAGTAGAGGCACAACGATGTCTTGCCAAGACTAGTAAATGTATATATAGTGTTCACTATTTCAGGAAAATAACTCAATTTTGTAGAACATACACTTACAAAGAAAAAATAATATATCTTATATTTGTTTGAACGAAAAAAGAATTATTTTCTTAAAATAGAAGAGTAATAAATGAAATACATAAAATTTCAACTTCAAGAAACGAAATATCTCACTATGTAATATAGGTTACATTAAATTTTCATATTTTTATTTTGATTTTAAATTGTTTGTATAGATCCTTAAGAAGGTCCAAGCCTCCAAAATTATTATCTTCTTATTTTAATAAATTCCCATATTGTACAAAAATTACAAATCATGCTTCATGTAATTCGGTAACCAGAGATAGGAAGTAGAGGTGTTACATCCGTGCCTTTATTTATTAAGTAAAACCAATTGGATTTGCAATAAATAAATTAATTAAAAAGAAAACTGATTGGAATGTTGTTGAATATTAGTAAGAAATGAACCTACATGTAGGACCAAGGCTAAGAATTGGGGAAGAGAGTCAATGAATATCACTTTTTTACAACCTACACATTACTGGGTTTGCTATTTGTATCTTGGAAAGACTACTTATCTGGAACATTTGCATAATATAAATAATCAGACCTATGAAAACTCTGGAACTTAGTGGGGGCACATGCCCCAGTGCCCCAACGGTAGATCCGCCCCTGTCTTCTAGTCCTTATTATTATATATTTTGATTTGTTCTAAATTTTATTTAGTTTATTTTTTTATTAAAATAAAACTTTAAAAATATATTTTTACATATATTATGTTCTGTCAATTATTATAAAATATTTTTTATATTCAATTGCAAGATTTTTTTTTTAAGCAAAGAGGTTTGGGCGATATTCAGGTTCTAACTATCACAAAAATATTCAAGGGGTATACTCAAGAGATATGTTTTGAACCAGCTAGTGCTAGATAGTACAATGCACCCAAGGGGTATACCTAAGAATGAACATATATGCCATCCACTTCTCTAGTTTCACCCTTCCCTAATTTTATTCCGTTTAAACAAGAAGAGATGCCAAGAGCAGAGTATTTTCTAACCTTAGGCTTTGTACAATAAGTCTCTCTCTTTTTTTTTTATAGGTAAAAATCGTACATCAACATAAAGCTAATACTAAACAGCAAAGTGGATAGACTAAACTATTTAGTATGAATATAAGGGAAGGATTGTTGATCCAATATCAACAACCCCTTGACATGGCTAGGCAAGCTTCCAAATGATGTATAAGTCACAGAAACCCCTGAGGAAGCAATCTTAGACAAAGCATCTGCAACCGAGTTTGATTCCCTATAAACATGTGATACCATATACCTCCGTCTCTTCATCACCGAAACAACTTCTTTCAGCTCAAACAGAAATCTCCAAGGCAAGTTCACTCTAGACTTCAACATGTTTGCCACGATAATATTGTCCGTCTGAATGTGGACATAAGACCAAACTCATCACATTTGCGCACCCCTTGCAGTATACCTTTGATCTCAGCTACTAAGCTAAAACCAACACTCAAGAAACCTATTTCTGCATAAACAAAAGTACCAAACTCTCCTCGAATGATAAGTCCAAATCCTGAATTACCAGGACTTCCAACGGCCGAACCATCAGAATTAAGGATGTAATTATTATAGTCCGGCGGAATCCACCTTACCAGCTTAGCCACCTTTTGACTTGTATAGAGTAGCTTTACACCAAAAAGCTCATCAATTTTCTTGCTTTCCCTTTCCGAAGCCACTTCCAACTTTCGAAATCTCAACATCATTACTATTTGTTCATGGACATCATGAATGACCTTTGAGGATGAAAATCTCCTTGAAAAAGATAGACATTTCTCGCCTTCCACAACTCACAAATAATAAAGACCGGAATGGCCATAGTAACAGTCTTTAGAGCAGACGAAAAACTTCCAAATATCCACCATGATTTAATTAAAGCCCATTATCCAGAAGACATAGGCAAAATTCAAGCCAATCTTTGCCGCAAAAAGATCCCATATAGGCTGCACTCTTTCACAATCATAAAAAGTATGCTGAATACTATCATTATTTCGAGAGTAAAAAGAACATATAGAAGGCAAAGCATAAAAGCCAAAGTGCTTGATTACCTCAGGAAAAGGCAAAAGACGGTTATACAACTTCCACATGAAGACGGAGATTCGCAATGGAATGGCTGGATTCCATAGTTTGCGCACCACATCATCTTCTTCTCCTTGCCGCCGCATTACATCATAAGCCGACTTTATGGTAAATAAAATTTTGAAAAAATCTAAATGCTTTATAATAAGAACCGGAGGGAGTAAAAAATTAGAAATTGAATACTTATATATATATGTATGTGTGTGTGTGTGCGCGCGCGTGTGTGTGTGTGTAAAGAAGAGGAACAATTAAATATGTAATAAAAAAATTCTCTATTAAAATAAAAAAATGTGAAAAAATAAGTATTTAATTTCTTTGTTTGTAAGAATTTAATTACATGATATGTATTTAGATATATGCATGGTAAAAAGATAAGAGCTATTTTTAAGTTATCATATTATTTTTGTCTATAAAAGGATAAAATATTAGTGAGAAGCCAATTTTAATTTTAAAAGTTAGGAAATATACTTATACTAGTATGCGTCCCGTGCATTGAACATCGGGTTTAAGATATTATTATGATAATCAAATACGATGAAATTAATTATCCTTAAAAGGTTACAATATAAACATTTGTTGTAAATTATTGAAAATTATTTATAAAAATAAAAAAATAGAAAAAACTCGTACAATTTTTACAGGGTAAAATCATCTTCATGTTCATCGTTAACTCGGATGTCAAAACTTAACGTCATCTTCCCAGTGTCAAAGGGTAAATTTGAAGTTTGACCCCAAGTTGTGGAGGTTTCTAAATATTTTATCAAAAGAAAAGGTGGTTTGGATAATCGAACATACCCCAAGGGTGTTTTTGATATTAACCAATTTTTAATTTAATGCTCTTTTCATCCTAAAAAATAATTTGATTTTATATTGGTGCTTTAATTAAACACAACAAACTATTTGTGTCATTATATGACATCATAAAAGTGATGATATAAAATACTCTCTTTATCCTAAAGTGATTATCTAGTTTTTTTTTTGTTATTAATTTTTAGAACATTTTGTTGAAAAGTATTAATTCTTTTCCCTCCCCCCTATGAAAAAAAGAGCAATAATTGTCCTTCAAACCAAAAAGTAGTATCTCACTTAAGAATTCGAGTCCTTCTTATTCCATTAGATGCCAAAGACACCATCACCTATGAGAAAAAAAAATATAAACTACAAAGTATGTATCCAGCACAATATCGCTTTAAGTCCTTCAAGATTGACAAGCCGTCGTCACACTAGTCAAATATTAATTACCTACTTAATACAATTACTAGTAGTAAAGTAGCAAGCAGAGTTGATCCCACAGAAAAGGTTACTAAGTACCGGTTAAAACTATTTCTTATTATTATTTAGATTAACAATTTATCAATTTTAAACTATTCTAAACCTAAAACTAACAATTGTAATTATTTAAAGATATAAATAAGTAAAAGAAAAACCTAGGGCAAAGGGGTTCACCAACCGACTATTCAGTTTAATTTAATCCATAGATTTGTCACTTTCGACTCTCATTAATCTCATGACAATTCACCAATTTAAGAATTATATACTCTCGTGTCATAACCCTCTTACTTAAGCTAACCCTACGACTACTCTCGTGACTATAGGGATTAATAAAAGCACATTAAGAACTTTGGAATTACTAGTCGCAAAGGCGGTGTTCCTACTCTCGTGGCTCACTACCTAAGTTTATTATTCCTACAAACTAATACTAGCCTTCCAGTTTCGCTACTTCAGCTAGCACCTTAAAGCATGCAAATATTGATCAGGTATTCACATGGATGAAAAACAAGAATAATAAATATTAATTAATGAAAAAGTCACAATCATAACTTAAATTAAATTAAATAGTACGTCGGCTACATCCAAAACCCTAGATTAAATAATTTAGCTACACATCATCTCAAAAATAAATAAAATAATGAAACCCGAGAGAGAGAAGTCGCAAAATTGAGTCCGGAAATTGATCCAATGCTGCTCCTCTTGGCGATGATGGTGCTGATGGATGATGGAGGCGTGAGGTTGTTTTGATGTGTGAGGTGCGTCGATGGTGGAGAAGAGTTTTGGCTGATGGTGTGTTGCGTGGGTTTTGGTGATGGAAGGTAGGTGTTCGGTGGTGATGCGTGAATGGGAAGCAAGGTGATGATGATGATGTGTGAGAGAGATGGAGACAAAGAAGCTGCCGTAGTGGTGGAAAAAAAGTGGTGGTCGGCGGAGGATTTTTGGTAAGGACGGTCAAGTTCTGTCCCAAAAATAAAACCCTAATCCTCCTTTTATAGGCTTTTGTCAAACCCTATTTCTTCATGAATAAGAAAGTTATTTCTTTTCAAGCCAATTTAAATTAAAACTCCTCCAACTCTTCAAGTGCTTCAATTTCTTCTTTGTCAATTTATCAAATCTTCAATTCTCCCTTTGAGTTGCTTTTTCTTTTCAATTTAGTCCAAAATCTCAACAATTCTTCCATTTGAGTACACAACCTAAAAATAAAGATAAAATCATATAAATAACATATTTGTACTCAAAATATATTGCAAAAAT